AAAAAAATTTAAAGGATTTATTTCCAAAGTTTTCATCATAAGTCAATTTTTAAAGAGTCAAGCATACCTTGTTAAATATATTATCCAATGTATACAGAAATGTCCATTTAAATTATTAATGTGCAAATTGTTTTTATATATTAAAATAAATTTAACCCAAAAAAGAATACATGTATCTACTCCCTTATAGATTTCATAAGTCAGAATTTAAAGGTGGAATGATTGTACTCAGCAAAAATTTATACTTGAATATGCAAATGGAGAATTTCATCAAGTCTAAATGAGGAATAATTTCATTATTACAAGTGCTCAACTTCTCCAATTTGTAAATTAAGACTTATCTGAATTAAAACTAACATTCTTTGGCAAAAATTCTTAAGAGTGTTGTATAAAAAGAAATTTCAGAACTCAAAATTAAATCCTCCACTTAGTTGAATCAAACAACCCCACCATCATGAGATTCATGAGTGTTACCCTGTTTAAAGTAAGTAAGCTATTTAGAAGTTGATTCCAACCCAACTCAATTTTCATTATTAAATTTCTCAAACTTATTTTTAAAATTTGACGTTTTCTTTCTCTATCTCTAGCAGATTATTTTGCTTAAATGTTTATACTTTAGCAAAGGCTTATTACTTCTTATTCAAAGTGAAAGCCTGACACTCCCTGAAGAATTCTGCAGTTACAGGTTGTAAAGTGTTAGTCATGCATAGATCATTTGTAATTTTATTTATTTATTTATTTATTCTGTATATATGTTCATATATACTACCTAGCATATACAGGATTATTAGATATATATTACATATCTACTATACATTTATTCATCTACTATATAAATTATATATGTAGTTTGCACATACTGTACTTCTAATTCAAATTTATGGCTGTATATCACAACCTTAGAATGACTTTTTTGCTGTCTTTGCTATTAAAATTAATCTATCATCAAAACTGATCTTTACGTTTCAATAAGAATCTGTAAGTTTGACTTACTGTGGTACATTCAGTTCTTTAAATATGTATAAATATTTGTAAACTCCATAGCTATGAAAAGGTTGTCGTTGTCCCTTAATTAAGTGGATAAGAAAATAAATCACTCACTTAATATTTACAACTCAGCTCTTAATATTTCCGCTATATTTAGCTTGCTGGTCTTCTCTATTTCATCCGCTAAATTACTATTGAATTTAACATAGTATCCCTATTCTCACAGCTCTAATCACTTCAGGTATTTTCTCCTCAACTATTGTAAGTCTTTAAATTGGTTGCCCTTCCAAGGCAAGGCCTTTCATTTTCCCTACTGTTGTCAAATCTAATAACAGCACTCTGTCAACCACATGCCATCAATGGCTCCCTATGACCTAAAGGATAAATTCCAAATTATGTAGCATGCAAAGCTTGTCACAATCTGGTCTGGATTTGCTCTTGTTCAACCAGCTTGATCTCTCTCGTCTATGACTTGCAGTCATGGCAAAATTTTGTAAATCCCATGATGTTTCCAGACTTCATTATTCTTTGCACATGTTATTCTCTCTGTAGGACACATCCCTCGGACATTTTCCATATATGCAAAGTGTTGTGGAACCTTTCATGTTAATCAAACGACTGCTCACTTCAGCAAAGGCTTCTCTACGCTTGTTTGCAATTTCACAACATTTTGCATGTACTTCTAACCTCAATCTGATTTATGGCCTTACTTGCATATCAGTTTTTCCCATTGACCTTTGCTTTCATGACAGGCACTTGTTCATCTTTATAACTCCAAGCCTAGCATCATGCATGGTACAGAAAGGTCAGTAAGTGTTTGTTGAGAAAGGAATGTGGAGAGCTAAAGCATATGGAGATACTTAAAATGAACTATCAAGGAAATTCAAAGCAAATCTATACAATAACTCTGCAGGATTCATTTAATATTACTGTATTATTGGTGTCATATAATTCTGTTATTATAGTAAAGCCTGTTGAAATCCTGTTGTGTGTTTGTGCATTCAAATATCTTAAAAGTACATCTCTATGTTCTTTAACTAGACAATTGACTAATGTCTTTTTGGGGTGGCGGTGAGGCCTGAATGTTGCAAAGTTTTACTTCAAGTTTAGAGGAAAGCAAGTTAGAGTACCCCGTAATAGAAAGACAGAAATTCACAAGCAAAGGGTTTGTGCTTTGGAAGTAATCTAACCTTTTGTTTACAAAAGACAAACAAGTGAAAAACATTATGATTTTTAATAAGTCATAGAAGTCAGAATCTTCCCAGATATGTGAGTTGCATAAATAACACTTTTCTTCTATAATTGCTAAATAGTTTAATGAAGAACGTGTTTAGGAAGAAAATATTTTAAAGCATGAAGCTTTATTCAGAGTTAAATTTTCTACCTCATTAACATAGCTGTGAAAAAGTTGATATTTTGAAATTCTTTATTCATTCAATTTTTTTCAAATTACTTTGTCCTGACTAATTTGTCTTTACCTGAAGACGTTGGCTTCTGATTTAACAGAGAAAATAAATAAAAACAGTTAGTTCTGATCTGGATGGGACAAATGGTTAGTGACCAAGCTACTGTAACTGTTAGTGATACAAGAAGTTTCATTATACATGTATATATATTTTCTACATTTCCATGGGGCGAATAGAAAGTTAGAAATAGTCAGCTTTGCAAAATAAGTAGCAAGTGAATGGCTCTTCCTTTGATTGGCTGCGGAGTTGGTCTAATTCAGAGAAACAATTAGCAACTTATTAGTAACTGCCAGATAACAACCAGACAGCATTCAGGTATTGTCAGACGTCTGATAAGGCACTTAATAAACTTTTCATTAGCCTTTGAGACAATCCTTTCAAGAGAAAGTATTTCTGGTGGCAGCTACCCTTTGGCTTTCCTTATTCCCCACTTGAGCCTCAAGGTATTTTGAAAATCAAAATTTAAAAAAATTAATATCACACAATAATTATTCGGTCAAATGTTCTATAAGAAACATTTGCTAATATGTGTTCTTCTACCCCAAATCGGCACAAATATCATGATTTAAAGACGCTCTGTTGGGCTGGTGATTTAGTTTAGTGGCATAAATGCCTGCCTGGCAAACCCATGGTTTGAGTTTGATCCCGGTAACACCAAATAAATAAATAAATAAATAAATAAATAAATAAATAAAAGACATTTTATTTACATGCATTTAATTTTATAGAATTGGGTTTTTTAATCCTTAGGCACCCCTATATGGTACAGTATTTAAAATAATATTATTTAAGATAATATCCAAAGGATAAGCAGTATTTAATAATCCCAATATTATTTTTAGCTGTAGTATTTTATCATTTAAATACTAAAGGTTCAAATTAAGGTAAATATTTGGTAATGCAATATGTTTTTAAACATTTTCCTAAAATATTACATACGCTTTATTAAACAGTAAAATATAGCAGAGATTAATACATTCACCATAACCTAGTACTTTGTGTGAATGTTTAAATGCGGACATGCTCATTGTTTCATAGGGAAATGCTAATTTTCACAATAAAACTTCCAATTATATAATCCAAGAATAATGCAAAAGAATTAATTATTATTCTCTCTTAGGAAGGTATAACTTCTGAATGCTGTGTGAATTCTATTTGTCAACATTACTTTTCTTGTAATTAAAATTCTAAAATGATCTTTAAATAATTCTTCACTGAAATTGTATTCTGATGAGTTTTTTTATTGCAATAATTGCAATTCAACACTTAAATAAATGTTTCACCCAAATATTTACCCTTATAAAATCATCTCTAAAAGCTTCCTGTCGGCTTTTCTAGTGAGAAGGGTGCATCTGTTTGAACACAAATTGAGAAAAATTTAGGTAAAATTACTTGTAATTTGACTTTAATGCCTTTTCTTTTTCATTTTAAAAAAGAAATTCCGTGGCCTCATCCCACTCAGTTCTTCATACCAACATGGTTTTTCAAGGTCTCGGCTTAATATAACCATCTCCCTTCCTATTTTTTACTCTTTTTCCACCTCCAGAAATTCTGTCACAGATTGAATCCCCAGAAAACAAGGAAATCACATAATCTAGACAATATAAACACATACCCTTTATGTGGGTCCTTTCAGTGAAAACTGCAATTAAGAGATGTTTGGAAATCAATCTACCTGGTCATAGAGATGATTTGAAATCACCAAAGAATAATAGATGAATCACTTATTTTTCTTAGGGAAAATTCTAGCCCTTTAAAAATTGTCTGCATTCAAAATTTCTGAGAACTCACTTGTCTTTTTTATGCATATTATGTTTTTCTTCCAAATTTCACTTCTCTGTTATATCTTTGTCCACTATTATTTTAATTACTTCTTCAATTATCATTTCTCTAATAAAATCTTCCTTATCCTTTTTCCTAATATTCATCTATATCTAATTATTTCATTTTGTGGTTTAATTTTAATTAATTTTTTGTCTACTAAGTCATAAAAGTAAAAAAATGAATTATCTATAAATTTTGTATTCATTCATTTTCACATTATTTCTTGAATGTTAGTCTTTTGAAAACTGTTTTTTCATGTTAATATTTGTGGCTGCAGTTGACTAGAAAATAGTAAATTTAATCCTGCCCATATTTTAAAAGATAAATTTTAGACAATACTTCTGCATATAAAAAATATACTCAGCTTTAAATGAGAGAACACAAATCCTATTAGATAGTAGTAATTATACTCAGCTATTAATGAGAGAACACAAATCTTATTAAATAGTAGTAAAAATGTATGCATAATAACCTATTATAATTGAGAGTTTATATTACATGTTTACTAAAAATTTTTGAAAATAACACAAAAATATTATCAAAATTATTTATAAATTATATGATTTTGAATACATATATCTGTTTAAAATTTAATAATGTGATGGAGTCTAGTAATAGAACCATGAATTAAGATGTTGTGATGAGAGAAATAATATAAAATAAATATATAGTTTTAAATGAATTTCTTACACCAGTAACACACTGACTCATTTGCGTTACTACCTTTGTGTCTATGAGATCCATCCATGTTACTAAATTCAATGTGATTTTCATCAGCCCAGTAGAGTCTGTGGTTGACATAATCTATTGTTAGTGCCATGGGTCTAGAAATCTTGGTTTCTATGACAACACTCTGATTGGTTCCATCCATGCCAACACGGCCAATGTGAGGATACTCACAGCAGTCAATCCAATACAAATACCTAGGAAAGAGAATCAATAATGATTACAAGTGATACAAGAATGAAACATCACCAATTATTTCACTTGTTTTGCTTAACTGTTCCCAGATTAATTCTTGCTATCATTCTGAATAATTTTATGTGTCAACCAATGCTAACTGAACAAAACTGATAAATTATCTAACTTTAGATGAATAAAACCGTATTCATGCCTTTGGCTCTGCCTCTTTCTCCTCCGCACTTTTCTCTGTCACTTTCTCTTGCTCATTTTCTTATCTATGGGAAATCTAAAACAAATAATAAAGATATGTGCGTCACTTGTTTGAATATATACAGTGTGTTTAATAACTTGTGTTTAGATATCTCCTCAAAGCTTCCCACAGTCAGAGATGGGGCTTTTTCAGAGATGTCTGGATCTAGAGTGTGTGATGCTGGAATTCATTCACCATGCTAGCATTAAGGGGCTAGGATTAGAGGCACCTGAAGTAGTCTACATCAATTAAAAGGGGCAGAAAGATGCCCTTGCTTCCTTGCTTTTGCTGCCTTCTGCTTACTGTGAACTAGTTCTACTCATCTATGATGCTCATCTTCCAATCCCTTCTACAATGGGGCCAGATGATTATGGACTGAAACCTCTACACACTTGAGTTAAATAAATTTTTCTATAATGTTAGGTGTCAGGTATTTTGTTTCGGCAACAAGAGAAAAGTAACTAAGACAGTGTGATAGTCACAAGCCAATTATAAGAGGTTCAATTTAAAATGATTAAAACAAAATAAAATTACATGAATAGGTAGATCCTCACACGAGCCACATTTCAAGCATTCAAAAACAACATGGTATTGTGGGTGTATATCCAACTACATAGATAAACAAAATTTTTGTCATAACCACATAAAGTTTAGTACAAAACACTGATATTACACTATTAGAAGTTCCAGTACAGGACATTTCAGAGAGAATGGCATAAAAATGAAGACAGTGATATTGATATCATCAATGAAATCCTTAGTCTGCACTAAACAAAATGATAGTGCTACTTTTTAAAATACAACTCCTATGGAATTACTTATGTATAAAATTTGCTATGAAGTTCGTAATTAAAACCTCAGTAAAATTTGTTGAAAGAATAGTTCTACACTGCCCTGTGGATACTCTGCAATGTTTACTCAAGTTCACACATTAAAAAAAAAGTCAGTTTGAAATAGTACCTACTGTGTGAATTATAAAAAGGATAAGTCTGTAAAGAAATGTCTGCTTGTAACCATAACAACAGACTTCCGTGATTCTCAAGATGTCTTTTATATTTACACATACTGCAATATATTTCTTTAAAATGAATTGTATAGAAATCTGATGAATTTTTTATTTCTCTTCTGCAATTATTTATATTTAGACATTACCTTCATTTGAAAATATTTCTGATTCTGAGCTATAACGTTAATCATCGATACTCATTCTCCAAGAATTTTTCTTTCAGTATATAGGAATGCTGAAATCAGATAGCTGTATGGATTTGAAAATAAGTGGGAAAATGTTTTCTTATGTGATTTTAAAATTTAAAGAAGTATTTCTGTGCTTACAGAAATTAGAAATCTACATTTCATCTTAGTATGCTTTTCAGTCCTTCACAGTAAACACAGCCTTGTGATAGCTGTCTTTGAAACATTCAGATGATTTACACGTCAATGCATTGATTTAAGTATAGGTAAGAGTGTTCTAGTAGCTATAACACCTGATGTCTAAAGCCAATTATATATTTATTATTGTTGTTGTTTATTATTATTACTCTATAGTCTCCATGGTAAGCACAAACATTTATAAAGACATGGTCATTCTGCTAAAGCAACTCACTATCAAAACAGATGGAAGGGTAAAACCTTGACATTAAAAATATTCACATAATGCTAAAAGGTTTACTTAGCATACCCTTCTTCTATTTCTCCAGGTGAAATCTTATGCTTAAGGACTAGCATAAATTAAAATACAGAAGCATAAAATACCTTTCTAAATATATTTGTGTGTCACTACTAACATTTGCAATGGTTGCTAAAGAGGTCAGTTGCATAAAGTATACTTCATATATTTCTTTCACATATAATGCAAATAAAATAGCTTCTATGATTACTTTTTTGTGGACTTTCTAAAATAATATTAAGAATAGAAAAAATCTGCAAATCAAGGTATGTGGTGAAGGGTAGAGCTTAGTGAGGAGATCCTCGGTTTGATTTCCAGCAGTGAGAAATAGAAACTTTTTTTGAAAGTGATCAATACTTTTAAACATTTAGATAATTGTCACTATTTCCAGATATTCAAGTCTTAAATGCTGATTGTAATAGTTTTAAAAGGTTAATTGTTAAAATGGAACAAAGTATAATATTTTTGGCTCTATTTCCTTTATTCTTTTTCAAGTAACTTAAAAACTATGCTCATGACATAAGATCATCTTGTTACTAGAAACACAGACAAGATGTAATAGGAAAAACATAGGACCAAAGCCTGAAAACTGAATTAAATCCCATTTTAATATCTCGTAGTATAAAAAAGATCCTAGAAAGCACTTAACCAATTTGACATTAAATGTTAAGGCAATGACTCAAAATAATTGTATCTTTATCAGAGATTTTGTGTATAATACATATGTCTGAAGTAATAAAACCTTGGAATAGTTTTTAATTTTATATAATGCTTCGGAAAAAGTAGTTACTTTTCTTTTCCTTGTTTTTGTATGGAAACTCTCAATCCAAACAGGTCTATGAACTGATCGTTTCCCTCTCTTGCATGTGCTTCTTTTCCTGTATTCTCTCTAGCTAAAGGATTTGTTTATGTATTTTGGTTGTGTTGTATTGTGTTTTGACTTAATCTTGTTCTCTTTTATTGTACAGAATGAAATGGTTCCACAGTTCCATATGGCTAGCTGATGTCTTTCAGTCTGTATGAGTTCCTTGCAATTTGTTGGATGTGTTCTGCTTCTCTGTGTGTCTGTGTATTCCTACCACACATCTCCTTTCAGTCAGAAATAACTGCCCTAAAGCACAACAGCATGCCTGCCTGTTTCTTTCCTATCACTATTGTTCAGGAAGCTATCTCTGATTCACCTTTAGGTGGACATGTTTTCTACTTTTTCTACCCTAAGAGCAATTGCATTGTACTATAATTATTTTACCCACTTACTATTGATAAAATGACACTGTTCCTTACTTTTATATTTATTTCTAATTAGAAAAGTGTCAGATATATTTTAATAACATTCTAAAAATGTAGGTTTAGTAAAACCATGAGTAATATTTTTTTCTTTAACATAGGTCCTTGATTTACTATTTAGTAAATATTGAGTATCAAGGAATTTAACAATATCCAAACTATACTTTGTATTTGTCTTTTGTTATAATAACCTGAAATATTGTCAAAAAAGCTGACTATAATTGTAGAATTAATCATATTTTCCACTGTATTTTAAAATGATTATACACATCCTTTGTAAAGGATAATGTTATAGAGAATTTTAATTATTTCAGTCACATAAAAGTACTATAAATCACAAAACTGATTCAAATATTAGATTATATTTTTAGATGGTTAACATAAAACAATTGAGAAAAATTAAAATTTAACTGAATTTAAATGTAAAAAATAGGAAGATGACCTATTTGTATTTTTACCACTGTTACTATTATATCTAAATTCATACTGTGATAATGGGTCTTCTATAAATAAAATATAGAAAAAGCCACCAAGATATGTTCTAAAAGCTTTTTGTTTTATTACACTAGTCTGAAAAGTGTTCATTAAATGAGTCCTTGGCTGATCACTTACAAGTGTCAGGACAGAAAGAGAATATTGCCATATCAAAATTACGTGCAAATTACACTAGTAATCTGAAATACAAGGAAGGGTTCATTGCATTTTTATTAAGTGATCTTACATTTTGAATTGTCATTTGTGAGGCAAGACTGCACAATTTTCATATGCTGATGGCATTTTCAAACTGAACCTCATTTTACAAAAAATTAAAATCCAGCTTGTTCATTGTTTTACTCTGGAAAACTTGGAAAACAGCAAAAACAAAAAGGTGCTACTAAATTGTTGCTATTCAAGTAGATGGCTTTGTTTCATTCAAAGATCCAAATTTATTTGATTATTGGGTTATTATATGTCATATACAGTATAATCCAACTATTACCCAAAAATTAAGTTAAGGGAGTTTTTTATATAACATGTACAATAATTTAGTACTTTGTTGTTTTAATTGACAGGTTTAATGTATGAGTTTATGCTGTTGGTAATTTAAGACTGCTTTCAGTTATTGTGTAATAACTGTACATGGGAGAAATAAAACCTAAAGCTAGACTCAGTTGCATTTATTAGCCTATGATACAGTCTTTGCTTCATAAACAGGAAATTCTACGGTTATTATTAAACAGACAATGTTTCTTTCATGAAAAAGTGAAACATTTTAACTGTTATGAAATGGAAAGCTAACTCAATTATATTGATTTTGAAAAAAAGTCCCACAGATTTCAAATCTCAAAAATAAATAGTTTCTGAGCAAAAAGCAAAATAATTATAATAGTCACATCTTTATAAATGAAAATAGATGATAATCATTATTTCCTGAAACATTCACATAAACAGGCTCTTATGAATCTCTTGTAAGTAAAACAAAGTTACTCTCTGTTTAACTTCCTGTTGCTATGGTAAAGAAAATATTTAAAGAGATAAGAAAATTACTGTATAAATGTAGAGTAAAAAGCTCAAAGGTGCCCATTACCTGGAAACCGAAATGCATACAAGGTAAAAGTCTTTTCCTATTTAATTTTGCTTTTATCCAAATGAATTCATAAAATTAACCTATAGAAGGTATAATGCTTAGCGTGTATTTATTTTAGAAGGGGCCCCAAAAGCTGAGATTTAATAGTTAGCAAGTCTAAAATTTAACTGTTAAATGTGACCTGGTGTATAGTTTTTTGGAAAAATATATTTGTATAATAATTTTGAAAGCACAATAATGTATTATAGTTATCTTAATATTTGTTACTGGAAATAGATGGCTATTTAAAACATAAACTTTCTCTAAATTTGTCATTTTAACAAATATATTTGGAGGGTTAAAAACCTACAAACATCATTTTTGATCACATGATAAATTATAGTAAAAAATTGGAAAGGTATGAATTCCCTAACTACAAACATGACATAATTAAAATTGAACTAGAAATGTCATAACACATAGAATTTTAGCCAAAAAAACCCCAGACTGTTTTGACATTGTAATGGATGCTCATTCCTCATCTGAAACCTCCGGCCTGCTATGCTAGATCCTTTGAATGGTTTTCCCCATCTTTATGCTGAAATCAAAATGGTATACAGCTCCTATGTGAACCTTTGCTATTATTCCCAATTTGCCATTTATTTTGAATACATTTGATACACCTTGTCATTTATTACCATGGGTACTACTTATGCTTTTTGCTATAAATGGGCAGGAAATATACTGCTCATACCTGTGACCAGAATAAATACTGTAAAATATGATTCAATCCTTTATTATTTCTCTGTCTTTTTCTAAGACTTAAAAACATTTAATATAAGGAAAATCTGTACATTGTATGAAATTCTACAATAAACACTGAGTAGTTCAAGAGAGTTGTTTAAAACCTCAAAAAGCAGAATTTTGAAAAGCAAAAATGCTTTTTGCTTTTCACTGTTATAGTCTTCATACTTTTTCTTACTTTTCATCAATAATTTCTACACGTTCACACTTCATATTAAATTTTCATGTTAATTGCCTATAGAACTAGATTTACACCAAAGACCATAATCTTAAAGAGTTTTAACATTTGTTACAAACCCAGCTCGAGGATCTAAAGACAGGTCCCTGGGAAACTTCAGCCTTTTGCTAACAAGGATGGTAGGATATAAGCCATTGACTTTGGAAACTTCAATTATCCTTTTTTCCATGTCAGACCAATAGAGATTTTTTCCAATCCAATCAACAGCAAGTGCATTGGGGACAGCTGTATTATGCACTACCTAACAAAATAAGAATTTAAGAAGTTAACAGTGTAAATCTCTAAAATGGAACCTGAGCAATTCTTGATTTTTATGGAGTCATAGAAATCTATTTTAACATTGGAAGTGGAGTTTGGTTAAGAAGAAGATTGATCACAATGCAATTATTTTTGTTTGAGGAAAATTAATATATAATCAGAGCTCTAGAAGTTACATGTGGAGTTAAGGAGAAATAAACAATACCACCCACGTAAAAGCTAATGGATAGATCCAGAGTTAGTGATTGTAAGTTTCCCTATTCAGCATCTTAAATATGGGCCAAATGATTGACAGAAGGAATTTTTGACATTGTTTAGTTTTAACAGCCTGTTTTTCAATAGCATTTTTCATTCTCCTTGTTACTTTTGCTCTATTTCATTGACTACAGAAAAAAAAAAAAAAGAAAACACAAATAAATTTGGGTACAATATATTGCGAAACTAGTCCAAGGCAAATAAAAAGTATATATGAAATTATTATAAATTCTAAGCCACATCAAATTAAATACAGTAAAAAAATATTGGTTTTCTTTGTAAAAATAACATACATATGAAATGACCCATCATTCTTGTTCTGAATGACAGATCATTCTTTATTCTTATAGATTTTAGGACCATGTAAAATATAGAACTGAATCTTGGAGATGCATAGAAATTAATAGTTATAAAGTTAGATAAGAAAATATTAATCAAATTTTACAGCTATCATTTTCCCTAATGACATCAATAACAAACAAGCAAAGAAAGATAACAATATCAGCATCTGTAACAATTAAAGATATTATCTACAGTGTTGATTTTAAGACATATTTGCTTCTTTATTCTACCAATCTCAAAATCTAGAAAGCTGATAATTAACTATTTAACTATCAACAAATAGTGATCTTATAAAAAGAATCATCTCACAAACTTATATAGAGTAATGATAGAACAAAAATGGCAAGGACAGTATACTTAAAAACTCAAAAAGATTATAAAAAAACATAAAAGCAATGAAAAATTTAAATATCTTATAAAATGCTCAAAATTGAATAATGTAACCTTCACAGGTTGTATTTAAATTATAAAAGAAATTATTTTACTGTCCTCTCTAGCCATTGGATACCCTATCATTAACATGTATTGATGTATCATTTTATAAACCACTAACTACAGTTATCCTGACTTAACTGAACCTAAGATGCAGTATATAAATGTTTTAATGATTCATTAATATTTTAAATATGCTTCCACAAGAACTTTATATGTGGCATTATATAGGATTAACAGAATGTTACAATATTTGAGTTGTTCTATCTGAATACAAAATATTTAAATCTTATTGCAGATACATAATGCTAATAAATTCATTTTAAATGCAAAAAATACAAAAATAGTAGGAAGTAACTCATTTTAAAATGTCACTTTTTAATAGTAAACTTGTATCAATAATCTTGATTTTATACTAATTCATTCAATTATTGTCATCTTTAGAAGTTTGTAAGTCTTCTCATTTAAATCTAACTCCATCATTTAATTTATTTTCAATCACAAATTCTCACTGTCATCTTTCCTTTTATTAGAATCTACATTCCTGAATCTCTAATCATTAATATCTAATCTCTAATCACTAATCATTTATAACCCTCAAGTTTGCTAGGCATTCTACATTTTATTTCAATAATTTGATTTTTAGTTTATTGCAAGTAGTGTCTTAATAGAACACAAGAATAAAATCTTTATATTTCCTATTTAAAGTATTTATTAACTTACACAACAAAAAATATGAAATTGAAACCAAACTAATATAATCTACAAGTTACCATAAAATAAACTAAGATTCTATTCAACCATTCAAATAAATTATTCAGTAACCTCATCATTGCAATATTTTGTTACCTTAATGTCACTTCCATTTAAATACATTCTATTTATGCGACTTCCATTAGGTCTACTAGAATCAATCCAATAGATGAATTCTTCTCTGTAGTCAAAATCTATAGCAATAACATTATTTAGACCCTAAAAATGAAAAAAGAATGTAATTTCAGTAACAGAAATTACTTTAAAATGTTTTAAGAGCTCATGAAATTCATTTTCCTTTAAATACAAATAGTTATTGAAATAACTTACATTTGTGCCTAATGCTTTTTAAAAGCATCTTATATGGTTACATGTACTCCATAGTATACACTTTAAAAGGTGGATAATTTGGAAATATATAAAATGAGACACATTTTTCAATGTTCAAAGTGGTTTAGAGTCCAATGAAATGGGCAAATTTGGTTTTAAGGAAAAATAGCTAACAATTGGGTTAATATTTGACATATACATGACATTTTAGCCTGTTCTATGGAGAAAGCAGAAATGAACAGTGAGCTAAATGGTAAAGGGAGACGTTCTCTGTAGAACTAAACTTTTCCCCAGATAGCCATCTGATAAGCTAGATAAGAAAGCTCAGAAATGTGACTCTAACCAAAAGCTCTTATCTCAACATCATAAATAATTTCTCTTTTTTAATGCTTCAAATGGCCCCTTAGGCAATAGACTGTCATATTAGAATTTGAAAGTTATAACCTTAGGTGAATATTTGACCAAAGAGGATTTGAATATTTAACATCTTTGATTTCATTTGGTGAAAATGTGAATACATCACTCCCTTCTGACTCATAGCATTCCAAGGTTAGGCAATCAAATGAAAAATAAGTTCAGCCTTTGAGTTTCTGATGCTACAACTTTTTAGTTTGGTCATCCTGCTGTTTGGTTTGATTTGTGGATTCTGTTGTAGGTTCTGTAATGTTATTAGCTTGTGAATTACTCCAAGGGTTTATAAAGAACTAGTTTAGTTCTGACCTAACTTGAGACTTTAATGGACTAACAAAACTTAAGTCAAAAGTTCAATTGTATACGTTCATCTTAAGGACAAAATATTTTGTTAATATATAAGTTCTTATCTAAAGGAAAATAGTTGACAGAATAGACACTTGGCAAATCCCCAGGAGATCTTCATCAAGTCTTTTACCGATTTATACTTGTTCATGTTATTATATGCCCCAAAGATACACTAAATTTTAAATTTCAAAGTACTTACACTTTTATGGTAAGAATTAGCACCGATTAGGAGACAAGACTTTTGTTCACTTTGATTTTGTTTAGGGGAAAAGGGACAGAAACAATGGGCATTCCCAGGTCTGCCATAGATGTTTTTGATGTTTTGGAAGATCCAGGCCAAGGCTAAGTGATTATTGGTAGGACTTTATTTCTTTTCAACAATTTACAAGACAAAAGTTGTCTATTTACAGAAGTAAGTCAGAGCGGGTTCTGGCAAGTAGTTCTTTATTTTTCTTATGGCAGGGTAAACTCTAGTAATAAAGATGTGAACCTCAAAAGTTCAGCTCTTATGCTTCCATTTGGCTCAAGTCAGCAATGTATTTGTCTTTGTCTCTCAATTATGAAGATCTTCTGAAATACCCACACCTCACAAAACTGCCTGCCATTTGTAATAAAAAAGAGATTCCAACAGGGGAAAAAAAAAATGCTCCAAATTTCTCACTCAGCCCAGATGAAAAGATGCAAGAACATTTCTTACTGACAATATTACTTATTAAGAATAATTATTATAAATGATAAAAAGGAATTAAGATTTATAGATCAAAGATGCATTAAATTTTGCTCCACATGTTTAAAATTGGAGCATCCCTTAACTAACTAAATGCATTAAGTTATACATATATAGAAAGCTGACTATGAAAACACAATTGAAATTCTAAAATATAAATTGAATATATTACGGACAAATTTTAAGGCTCAAGAAAAGTACTTCACTAATAGCTTGCAATATCCTATTTTTAGTAAAATGGCTTTCTTTTCAGGGGGAAAATGAACTTGTCTTAGGGTTCTGTGATGGCTTGCCAAATCAGGTCAGTAAATTAGAGGGGTTTACAGGAAAAAATAGAGGAAAAACTTGACTCTAATTTTAGCAAGTATTTATCCACAATATCCAGCCATGTAAAAACCTCCTACTCTCATATGAACAATAATGTTTAGATAATGACAATCTAATTCCAAATTGATCAATTCAAGTAAAATAAATTAAACCTATAAATGTATAGTAATTGAAGTTATGAATTTCAAAATAACAATCTATCTAAGCTGGTCAGATTTTTATATTTTTTGTTCTGAATCCCTAAAGAAAATATAGATCAATGCTGTCTTTGTAGACTCTTATGCATGTAGCATTAAAACAGCCAGAGTTATGGCCAAATAATGTCTGAAAACCAGAGTCATCTCAGGGGTTTCGAGCTGAAAATTGGTTTCATCAAAATCCTATTTGCTTCTTTCATTCCTATACCTGAATATGTGCACCCTTTAGTTTGAGATGATTAATTTAGGAAACTGTATTTTGTGTCTGTATGAGATTTTATTGAAAAAAAAAACTGTTAGAAATGATTTGGGCAATGTATTAGAAAGTTCCTTGATTAATTTTCATTCATCAAATTTATGTACTAAAGTACATTTTCAAACATGGTATGTGAACTGAAGCTATAATGCCTAGTGCAACATTTACATTTTAGAATATATATGGCACGAAAAATTTCTATCAGATGTTTAATTACACACAATAGAATTTCATGATATTATTAATGACTAAAATGAAGAAAATGAGATATTATGATAAATCATTCTTAATCAGTAACATATAAACCTATCATAACTAACGTAAGGATATTTTCCTTTCACTTGAGTTGAAAATATATGTGGAATATAACTATTTCTGTGTTTTACTTTATTCTTCACTCTCTAGAGGTACAGACATCTCTAAAGGAAAATAAAATTCTATCGCTTAGAACTTTTGACAAAATTTTAAATACTGTGTTATGCTAAAAAGGTGGTTAAAAACAGAGTCCCTTACATAAAGTACACACTCCAAACAGGCCACACAGAGAACCGGATGTCAGATTTGTCATAAGTTTGCTCTTTGATTTGTTTTGGGGATAATGTCAACATTTGTTTATCCAATACTTATCATTAAGAATAATTTTTCAAAGATTTTCAGAATCATCATGAAATTCCTCATCTTCCTCATTCCATTTTATTTGCATAAATTCTCTGCGAAGAAACGTATTAGAACTTTATCCTCACATAGTCACTAATGACTGGCAATAGTGTAAAATGATATCGCCATGAAAAAAGAGCCGTAGTAAAGTGTGCAGTAAAGTGGTTCCATTATATTAAAAAGGTTTAAATGATGCGTGAAGGAAAAAATCATTTTGCTGCATTAAGAACAATTTCTGACAGTATATTTTCTATGAAAAACAACAAAACGGATACCAGTAGAAATGTTCTGATTTGCATGGTTAGAAAAATAAAGCAAACAGCTACAACTGCAGCTCTGTTACAGTTATTTTATAAACAAAATACATATTTTGCCTGTATTAGTTAAATGTGATTCAACTAAGCTCAGCAATAGAGTATTCTAAAAAAGCAACTTTCTCCTTTTAAACAGATATGGTACACATGAAAATTAAAATGTTAAAAATACCAACAAGTAGAAAATAAATAGATCTCTGTGCTAAAAGAGCATATTAATAAATTAAGGGTTGCCATACGTGACTTTGAAGTTACAAAGAGGGTTATGGGAGACTAAAACGATGAACACCAGAAAAATATTTTCCATATTTTTAAAATATTGAGTAGATTGGAAAAAAGGAATTAAGTTAAATAATGTAGGAAACAATGTAGGTAGCAAGAAATTTTTTTTCCATTTTGAAAAAAATTATATCTTTCTCTAAAGACGATTTCTGTATTATTGTCTGCAAAAGGCAAACATTCCTAAAGACTAGCAAATTCTTATATTTCATATATTCCTGATTAGCTTTTGTATACACCTAAAGACACTTTCTATTTTACACATTATCCAAGGATTCAGAATTAAAGAGTTTGAAATGGTGAATATAGGTGATACACCCCAAGAAAGAGTGTAAAACTCCTAGATCTTCTGGAATACAGCAAGTATGCATGTCAAAAGCACATGGAAAGTCTGAGCACTCCAGGGTGCTGCAGAACATGGTTTCTGAGTCTCAGTGGCAGCTGCTACATAGCTTGGACCATTAAAAAATGTGAGCCTACATTCTACATCCTCATATTTTTTCATTAGTAGCCAGATAATCTGAATTTTCATGTACAATTCTCATTTTCAAACTGTGATTTATGGAAAAGGTACAAAATCCAACTGTGTCAGAATTAGTCAATATAACACTGTATAACAGATATATGGACTTGAATTAGGATTAAACTGTAAAGTAAAATGAGTGAAATTCCCTCAAATGCAGTAGAGAAATCTGTACATTAGTAGCAAAAATAAACTTAGCTAAACATCACTGCCCATCCATTTCCGTAGGTTGCCCATTGATAGATTCAATCAGCCACAATCAAATGTTTTGAGAGAAAAGGTGAGTCTCTTCTGAATACATACTTTTTCCTGTCATTATTTCCTAGTCAGTTCAGAATAGCTACTATTTACAGGACATTTAGATTGTAAGGGGTATTTTAAATAAATTAAAATGAGTTAAACTGTATGGAAAGATATGGTTAGGCTGCATGGAGACACTGTAATATTTTGCATAAGGGACTCAAGTATTGGTGGGTTTTAGGATTTGAGGGAAACACAGGAAGCAATCCTGCACTCATATTATTAGGGTAATTTTTAAGTCTTATTTAAGACATCAAATGAAAATTACTATTTATTTATACTTAACATTAATATAAACACATCACAAAAGCAGTAAATATCCTTAATTTTGATACTTGATGCAATTTGGGGCTTAGATAAGTTTGTAACAACACTTTATAAGCTAAGTATTTCCAGGAAAATATGTATTTCTTGAAGATTAGAAAAAGCAATTACTAAATATATGTGATTTGTTTGTTTCAGGAAATAATTACTCTAGCTCTAATTATGTGAATGTGTGCTATTTCGATGCACATACAGAGGGGTGAAAAGGTTGAAATGAACAAATATAGTTCTATTTTCTCTTATGAGTTGAATATTATAACTTTTAATAAAATTAATATATAAAATTAGCATAGGTAAAAGGAATCAAACACAGGTCAAATTATCCCAGATTCTTCTGAGGTGGGTCATGTTGAAGCAATGTAGGATAAGACTGAAATCATATCAGCTCCTGGCCTTGCAATCATGATGCAATGAATAGGTCTCCTTGTCCTTCCCCCTGTGCCCCAATCCAAGTAATTGAATCTAGATTTTTGTGTCTTGCAGGTAAATACTCTAATTCTGATCATTATCTCCAGCCCTTCCCTTATTTTAATCACCAAATTTCAAAACCAAGTTGTTCTGTGCTCTATTATTAAGTTTTATTAAGTTCTAGAAAAGGTTACTTTTAAATTCCAAGGAGAGAAACAGAACCAATTTGAGTAATCCTCCATGGCTTGATAGAATTTTATGTTTCTGTAATGTAGTTTGAGCTAATTTCTCTCACATTAATTACATTTTATCATTTTTACCTTCTTTGATGTGTTATGATATATCAGGTTAGTGAGCATTACCTGCTCACTCTTAAACAAAAGAATGTTTATGGTAATCTAATACATGCATTATGTACATCCAAACATATGTGCTTCATAAATTTTAATTTTTAGGTACTTTATTTTCACAGCTCAATGCATATCTGGAGGGACCACGTTGAATGCTATAGAATTCTGAAAATGTCGTACCTGCTTTAAAAGTGTGTAGTTGGAACCATCAGTGCTAATTTTACGTATCTCATGATGATCAGCAAGAATAAGAAAAGGTTCTTCATCTAAAATCAATGCAAAAACAGGTTTATTATTTACAAATCTGCTTATTTTAGTGTAATTTAGCATCAATATAAATTACAATGCAGTGTTACTATGGTGATTTAGTAGTTAAAAATGTCATAGCCATTACCAAAGATACATTGTATCCTAAAGTACAGAATACCTACAACACTTAATTCTAAGTGCATTCATTTTTTACTTTAGATTTTCTTATATATTCTAACAATTTATTTGGAATTAGTAGAAAATGCATGATATTTAATTCTGGAAATTAAAATAAATTATAGCTCTAGAAAAGATCATTTTACTTATCTTAAAAATCTATAGTATAGCTAAATATTCATAAACACAAAAACTCTTCCTAATAAGAAACCATCAATTCCTCAGAATGATTTATGTGAAGACCTAGAGTATCACCATATATATTTACTTTGAATGTGCCTCAAGGATTCTCCTAAGTAATTTATAAGCTTAAATCTAATCTTTATTACTTTCACTTCTTTTCATGAGAATTATGTTTAAGCTTATACTAGTCATTAGTTCTTTCCTATGAGCTTACGTGATGTGTTTTACTAACTTTTATTTTAGAATATATAAAAGAGCATAAGTTTCTTATAATGCTGAATATACATAAAGATCTTTTGAACCTATACGCTGTTGGCTTCAGAATTTGTTTAGCAATGAAATAAATTAAAGAAAAATCTCAAACAATTTTGTAATATACATTTATTTGCTTATATATTTTAATAATGTCAAATAGACAGTGTTCTCAATTGTTATGATTTTATATCAATTCAATAAAATATTTTATTTTAATATCTTTGCTTCAAAAAATATTCATGCACTTATTTGCCAAGAAAAAAATCAGGATTCCAAAAAGAATTTGGGGAAAAATACTTTAAAAATACTCATTTTGTTTAATTGAACATGGCTCATTCATTGTTATAGTTATTGTCCTGGTTAATTTATATTTGAAAATATTCCATGTCTTTCTTTGTCTTTCAGTTTTGTAGTTAATGTATTATAATAGTAAGCTATCATATCATGTTTCACTCTATGACATACTACTCATGTTGGATATTCCCTTCAAATATTCATGACATCACCCTCATTCATTTCTGTCATTAGGACGAAGACAAATTCAGACTCATAATTCTTCTCAACATAAAGCTAGCTCTCATATTCCAGGTACTTTGACATTCATGTTAATATACTTTCAGTTTTACAAATATAAAGCTAACGGGGCTATTTTCATCTGAAAACTGAGGTAATTATGTTCTTAAAGCTTAAATATATTTGTATAAAATCTCTGCCCTATCACACAAGATTTATACTTCAACAACATCTAAAATTGTTAGAAGTTTCTAAATATGATTGCAATATGAAACAACTATGGAAATGATTCTAATATAAGAACTATATTATCATTAGGATTCATCCACTCCACACTATCTTTTGTGAGAAATTTATACTAATGCAAACATTTTTATAGATTTAACTTTTTATCTAGCATCATGTTACTAACTGCCTGATACATCAAGCAGTGAGATACTGAAAATCAAATAGGTGGGAAAAACAAAAAGAGTTTCTAAATGATTCTCAAATTGATTCACAAAAGAATATTCCAAGAATGAGTGACCATGGATGAAACACTGAATGAGATAATTAGCAATTGATATAGTGTGGTATTAACAAATAAAATTTATTTTAAAATTTTATCTTTATTATCTAATTAAAGTAGATCATAAAAACAATCTATTGTAACTGATATATCTGTCTGAGCAGCTTTATTCTAATATGCGTGATTTTCCCCGTAATGGTTTATAATATTTTTAATGGTATGGACAATGCTTTAAAAAATTTCTAATTTACATCATCATAAGTAATACTTGGAATAAACAGATATTTAAGAATATCTGCTAAATCACTACAAAAATTCACATAGCCTTTCTTTTTTGGAACCCAGAATCAAACTCAGGACTTGTGTTTGCCAGGCAGCTGCTAAATCTGTGTCTCAAAGAGTCTTATATGTTAAATGTGTTATGAATTTTGTTGCTTTTTCTTATCATTATCATATTAACCTTTGTTTCCTTGGCGTGAATATATGTGGTAGAGAAGGAAAGACAAATATTATAATAAAATAAAAATAAGCCTCTTAAATTTGGCTAAACTTACTTCTCATTATTATGTAATTCAGTAGAAATCTGTGTTAGATAGAGTTCTTTTGCTTGTGTTTACTCTCAAAATGTAGGGAACAAAATAATTTATAAGATCATAATGCAGTATTACCACAAACAAAACAGGGCATATACAGAATAAAAAATCACCATGACCGATTAATATATTGAGAGAAGTAGAGAAGAATTTGGATTTCGCAGAAACTGCAGGGAAAGTGAATTCAAGAATAGCTATAAAATTCACAATCAATATGTACAACTTAGGCTGGATTAGTGGGCAAGTTCAGTTTGATACCTGAAAGTGATTTGCAGCCATTTGGGTTATCAGGTTGTATTTTATACCCATCTGTACAAAGGCACTTGTAGGTCCCATATGTATTGATGCAGTGCTGGCTACAGGGAAACCCTGACGAGCATTCATCAATGTCTACACATGTTTTACCATCATCCTTCATTTGGAATCCAGGCCAGCATTTGCACTGGGGAAAGAAAAAATGAACCTAATCAATTCATATCATTATCAATGTCTTTTTATGATTAGATATCCCTTTAGCATGACTCAAACAAGAAGCCCTTAAGAATACATAAATGCAAGTCTTCTTGTCTCTCAGTAATTAACCTTTAATAAGAATTACATATATGCATTATGTAAAGTTAAAATTAAGAAAGGACTCTAACAAACATCTTCATTTGATCTTCTGAAACTGGCAAGATTACAAAGTTAACCAACTTCATGAAGTCCTGTGATAAGGGAATGGGGAAACAAATAAAAACAAAACAGAACAAAAAGACATGAAATCTAACCTCCACTTCTTTTGCTCTTTTTCTACTAAATTATATTCTGCTTTTTGATGATCTAAATGTCATAAGAATTAATCCTTATATGGAGCTCTGAAGATTTCTAACAATGTCACGTTATTTCATTCGAGACATATAGAAATCTATAATGAAAATATTTTTACTTCTAGTTCACTGAATGTAAAGTTGTCTATATACACTTACTATGTATTGTTTAAAAAGAGTATCTCATTTTTATTCAGTGAATCTGGAGCTATACTGAGACATGATGATGTTGTCTGAAAAAATTATATTAACTTTCTTCTCACAGTAATTTAAATCAGATTCTATCCTCCAAACAATCCTTTGATTTTACTGATACATTTTCAGTGTCCCTTGGTAATGAGTGATATGTGATACTATCTGGCAAATAAGCTTTTTGAGAATAAATATCATGCTCTATATGTTTCACATTCTTAAAAGTGATGAAACCTTGGTTACTTTTTAAAGCTCTCTTTGAAGGCTCTAAGAATATGAGAAATATTAATATAGGCAATATACGTTTACTTGATAAGTTTTACTAACTTTTATCAATAATGTTTCATTGGCTTTTAATAAATAAATTTTTGAATATTGAGAAAGATGTTTAATGATCTGGCTCATTTACTTGAGGATGAAAGAGAGGGAAAAGAGTTGCATGTATTGAGAAAATACTAAAATAATATTTGTCCATATTATGAAATTATAAATGACCATTATATTGAAGGTAGAAGTTTTCAACACATTTAAAATACTTATTACTGGCAAGGAAAGCAAAGAATTAATAGCAGCTTTATCTGCAAGTGTTCAAAGATAAGTAATTACTTTTACAAGGATTAAAAATACTTTAAACTCTTCGTACTTCCACTTATAATAATTTACATCAACATTTATCTAATAATACTCAGAAAATATAATGGACTATATAAATCTCTAGAACACACTGCCAAGCCTGGAAATGAATGCAAAGCCACAGTTTGAAATTGCAAATGCTCAACATCATATCTAAAATTGGGACATTATTGCCTTTTATTATACTTTGTATCCTAGTTCTTCAAAGGCCATGTCCAGAAGTTAGGTCCCAAGGAAATGGTGCTGTTAGGAGGAAATGTAAATTTCACAAAGTGAGGTTAAACTGCAGGAACCAGGCCCAGAGGGAATGTCTCTAAAGAGCAACTCTTGTCTCAGACCCTAACTCTCTTTATTTCTCTTCCTTCTTTTGACTCCCATAAGATAAGTTTTCTCCCACATTGCAATAATTTTCCTGTCTCCCCACAGGAATAAAGAAATAAAGCTAACTGCTTTTAGCTAGATTAACAGTGAAAATCATGAGCAAACAGCAGTGGGAAAGATAATAAAAACCTGAAGTTTGGCCAGGAATGAACCTTGGAGACTGAGGCCAAAAACGATGTGGTTGGTAAAGAAATTAGTACCATTAAACAGAAATCAATAACCTTTCCTCTGGGAAAGTGAGAAAGAGGTCTTGAGGGCATCTGATGAATGGTCCAGACCCCACACATCACCAGCTCAAAGTCAAAAAAGTATAAACTCCTATGAAAGATTTTGCTTTGAATAGAGTCCCAAGGTACCTTTTTGATACAAGGCTGACTAGAGAAGGGTTTCATTGTGTACAGCCTTCCAAGTCATCATGCCAGTGCAGCCGGATTGTAAGGAGTTTCCAGCTGTTACAAGACTTGAGTGCTGTCCATCTGGTGTTGACTTGCCATTGAGCACACCTCTTTACAAAGTACAGCAGCTTACAGGATGTCCAAAGAAAGTGAAATGTTTAAGGCCACTGAATTGTACACTTAAAAACAGCTAAAATGATCAATAGTATATTGCATTTATTTTAGCACAATTTTTAAAAATTAAAGAATGAACTCTAACTGCAAAGAAGTTATCACCCTAACGTTGTAAAAATCAAGTCATGAGTTTGGGAAGCCAGAAGTCAAACTGGTACCTACATGACACTGTTGAATCAAGGGGCAGTTTAGAGTAAGTGAAAAGTTTTATAGAGTAGACTGAAATTTTATGAACAGTATTATAAAATGAACAAGGTGTATTTTAACTTTAACAAAATTTCTTAAATCACCTTGAGTGCCCATATTAAAATTACCAAAATAATATATCAAATAGATAGCTTAAATTAAAAAAACACAGAAAATTAATTTAAGGTGAATTTGATTAAAGTTATATATTGATACAATTCTAAATACAACAGTTTATAGTGACTTTAAATTTTGTTTTTGATAATCAGGAATTTAAAAAGTGAATTTTCTTCCCAATAAAGCAATAAGATTTTAACAAAATATTTTTATCAATAAATAATTTAAAAGTATATGGAACAATATCTATTAGACTTATAAATAATGTAAAATTTGTCTGTGTTCAACAGAAAAAAGTAGAGTATAAAACACCTTCACACTTCCTTAAAAAGTCAATTATTCTGAGTCAGATATAAATATACAAAGTTGTTTTACTTTTTCTTCTTATTAGTAATTTTATTTCCCAGTTTTATTGTAATTTTATAGTAATATATAATGATAAAAGAGAAAAATATGGCATCTAAATGTTTTCCTATTATGTTAAAGAAAAAGTCTTTGCAAATTTTCAAGTGGCATCTGACAACTATTACTTTTTGTTTCTAATTTATGCTTTAGAAATTTCTACCTCACAGTAAAATATCAATTTCTGTATGGTAAAATATCAAAAGATTCATGCTCTAATTTTGTATGTGTTTGAGTGGTTATATATATTTATTTTAAACAGAATAAAAACAAAAAGTTACAGAATTTCAAAACAAAATATTTAATTTGTAGAAAATGAACATATTTTTCAATTGGTAAGATCTAAACCTTGCCTTTGTAATCAGTTTCATATTACTGTAAAATTTAAAGAATGATTTCTTGTTCTTTTCTGTTAATATTGCAATAAAAAATGGTTTATGGTAGGTTTTTTTTTATTCTATGCAGTGGAGAAACTGATAAATTATATTAAAACAAAACTACAAGCCTTTGACATTCCAGTGAATTTTTAAAATTTCAATCCATAAATTACCTTATATATTATATATACATATAATCCATCTTACACACAAATAAACATGCTTGTGAGATATATTTGAATATACATCATAGAAAATATTTGGCAATAGCCTTTGTTGGAAACTTTTATAAATGATGTGGGTCTCATTTTATTTGTTTGTTTGTTTTTTGTCTTTTTGAGACAAGGTTTGTTTAGGCAGTTCAGGCTACACTTGGGCCTATGTCATAGCCCAGGCTAGTCTTGAACCTGCAAATGACTCTTCTGCCTCAGCCTCCCAAGAGCTGGGATTACAGAAGTGAGCCACCTTGCCAGGCTACTGGTATCATTTTAACTTGCTGTATTTATCGTATTTCCTCCAATATACGTTTTGTTATATTCATTACACGTGTGTGTTATTTATATCAACTTTTCAAATATTGTATCTTGTATGTTCACAGTTTGTCAAGATTAAAAACTTTTGTCTATTTTCTCCTAGAATTTTCACATCATTCTCTGGAAACCTTAGAGAGGACAGGGTAAAAATGATGACTTTTAAAGGAATAAAAAATAAGAATTTCTATTTGTAGAGGTCCTCAAAGTTTTTTAAAAGAGTATTATTTAATATGGCTTCATGGATGGCATCTTATACCAAAACAGTTTTCCAAATACAGTTTCACTATGCACTAAATATATCTTACATGTTGGCATTTTAATTAAAATCTCATTTTTTATGTCATGTCACAAGGTGGCCATTTTATATTTTGTAATTCTTTAAATACTTTACCACCAAGATTTATATGGCATTAAATACAGGCAATTTAAATAAAAAACCGACTTGAAATTTTGTTATATAGAAAATATTTGTGTGACATAACTAAAGAATCATTATTCACAGGTCTATGACTTAAAATTTTAATTAATTACCTACAGTAATTTTAAGATGCAGTTCCTGATATACTCAAAAGGATGGCTCTGTATTGCTTGTGTGTGTGCAAGTAAATACCAGCAGTATTTTTTCTGCTTCTTGTGTTTTAAGACATTTCCTTCTAAAAGTATTTATATGATGCATAGTCTCTCATTAAGAACTGTCCTGGCTCATTTGCTCTGTTTCCTTCCTGTAAAAGAGCGTTTGTGAATTATTGCATCTGTATTTTAAGCTTGCAAGTTTATTGTGTTCTTAACACAAAAATGGACCCAAGGATTTTAAAATAAATTAGCTTTAGCTTCCTTGGCATTTCTTTTGTTTTGCTTTGTGGGGCTTTTGTTTTATTTCATGTATTTTCCCACTGGATATCTAAAGCAGGCAGACCAAGTGCCCTTCCGGTGAATGACAGTCCTGGACTCAATATTTCATTCTACTGCCAAGTTTTGCTGGGAAGAAATGACCATTATGGCTTTTAGGTTATATCTAAATTCAGTAAAATCTTTATTAATATAGTTGTTAAACATAATATCAGAAATTCAGAGCTTAAAAATGCCAAATTGTTGTTTAACTGAATTTTATCATTCTACAGAAATGATCTTCATATACAATGTTAAAGTTTGCAGAAAAATAACCAGTGATCTTCATACACACGTTTCTCTAAGATTACTTTGAGAAAAATATTATGGTGACATGAGATGCATCTCAGTGTTAGATTTTGTCAATGCAACAAACTATCTAAGAAACCAGATTCCATGGCATGTGCCTGCAATCCCAGATCAGCCATTGTCAGGCCCCTTTGGACTGTGGTTACAGTAGTTGTGAGCAACTGGTCAGCTCACTACAGGGAATCAATCACATACACATCTGTGTATGTACAGGGCACCTGTGAGCTCCCTTTTCAAAGATTTGGCACTTTTACAACCTTGAGCCTGTGATGGTTCTGGTCTGGCCAATCCTGAAATGTCCTCGTCCTCAATATATCTTTCTCACTGTCTCCATGAAAATGATCTGGCTTCTTCTAAATGACACTAATCTCCAGTCACACATTGCCTGAATGTAACTTTCCAAAGCCATTGCTTATTTTCTGGAACATCTACACATTTTTCATGTCATACTACTCTGCTTTTTGTTCATGATTCTCTGTAAATCTGGTAGAGAAAGTCGTTCATATCCATATCACTCTCTGGATACTTTTCAGTCATAAAATTTCCTCTGCCATTATTATCTAGTTCATCTCATGTAATTTCATCCTTAAAGTATTTTGGCATGGGCAAAACATTTAAAAAATTTTCTTTGCCAGAATGTAAAATGCATGCTCTCCAGTCCAATTTCCAACAAAATCATCTTTCACATCTAAAGTCTAATGAGCTCAGTCTTAATGGCCACATATCTATCAACATTGTGATTTGTGAATTTATACCAAAATTGTTTGTAACCTCCATTTACAACATTATAATGCTTATTTAACCTGCATTTTCAAACCATTTTAAATTCTTCCTTCAAATAAGTTCCTAAGGGATGAAAAACACATATTAAGATACAACCACAGCAGTGACACCTTTTCTTGTGTTACTCAGATTCTCATCACTCTGAAAAAAATATTTAAGAAAATAGTTTAAGAAAAGAAATGTTTGACTCATTTTTGATCTAGGCTGAACTTCTGAAGACATAAGATCCAGGCCCTTAGTCTTTCTGTATACACAGATCCAGATACACTTCAATTTTTCAAAAATATGCACAAGTACCTTGGGTGCATTTAATCAATGGAGGACTCAGCGGAATAAAATCAAGCCCTACCAGTGGTCCAAACTGGCAGAAGTAACCTGCTGATTCACAGGGAGTTATTTGTCATTTTTAAAAGTAAAAATAAAGCAAAAAAAAAATAATCTTTAAATGAATAACTACTTTTTGAAGTGGTACTGTAGACTGAACTCAGGACTTTGCCCAGGCTAATCATGAGCTCCATCACTGACCCACACTCTCAAACCACAGAAACAATATACTGAATCAGAGGCAATGTATTTTTGTGAGCTTTGCAGTGAATCATATCATCAGGAAAATAGCAGTGAAAACACTACAACAAAGGTACTAGTGATGGTTTATTTTTAGCAAAGTAGCTTTCAGTCTTGATCCTCCATGTTTTCTAGTTTTGTCATCTTATTCATATTTAGAGAAACATATACTATTCTCTTTTGATACACTGAATATAGAATTAGCCCATTCTAGATAAAAGACATATGAGACATAAAGTGGGGAAAGGAATGAGAAGTTAAGGATTGGTGACATATTTATACAGTCATTATCATATTATCTTCTCTTGGTCTTATTTTATGTTAGAATTTTCTTATTGTTCTGAATAGAATGAATCATTTTTATGTATTTTTGTCTTTTTAATAGTGCTCTCTTGACTGATATGTCACACTATTATTATGGTTTTCTTATGTAGACATTCTCCTTTTAGGTAGTTCATGTAACAATATTGCAATGCCTTTTAATTTTACATTCATATTAGATTAAGTAAATTTCATTTTTGTCACTATTTCTAATGTGTCACAGGATTTGCCCTTTTGGTGAGTACTTACCTTGTAACTCACTGGAAGATCTTGACAATCTTGAGAGCATCCACTGGTTTTCTTACTCAAACATTCATTTATATGGCAGTTTCTCTCATCTGAGCCATCTCCACAGTCATCCTTACTGTCACAGAGATTTCCACTGGGAATGCACCTGCCATTTTTGCACATAAAAAATGAACTGTTGCATGACTGTTCTGGAAAAAGAAAATAAAACAAATGGAACATAAAAGGCATGACATTTTTTATATTACAATAGTTGAAAACATCCACAAATATGATGACTTATCTGTTAAAATTATGATAAATTTATGTTCATTTAAAAAGCTTTATAGTGCGTACACTATGTTATCCACAAATGTAGAAAACCAGGAGAAAAGTATATGGTCATGCTCTCCATTTATTACAATTCTGGCTTTAATTCAAAAATTAATATTCAAAATAAATGTCTGTTGCAACTTAATGGGATACCTCCCTCTCATCTACATTGTGAAGCATGAGCTCAAGAGTGTGATGGTATTTTGACTTTTCCCTCAAGCTACAGTAGTCTGAGGCATTATGTCACTAAAAGTTAACTATATAGAATAGGTAGATTCCAAAATCCTTTTTCTTTCAGAAAATATAACATTGACATTTTAAAGTAGGGCATAAAAAGGACATTGATGGTGAATAATAGTTATTCTAAATATAGCTTTGGAAAGAAGTTCAGATTTTACAGCCACTCATAACTGGATACTTTGAACATTACTCATTATCATACGTGCTTTAAAAAGTCTATTAACATGTAAATGGTATAAGAAAAGATCTAATTGAGTTTATTTTAAAATATATGACTATATATGCTGCCTTTGAAATAGTATAATGATAAATACATAAATGTATTTATAAATTTATGTTCAAATGATATGCAGTTTATTTCATGTTGCCTAAGTGTGAATACTACTTCAGAGCAAATCCTTTAAAATATACTTATTATTAAAATCTTAATTGGCACATAATAATTGCACATATCTATAAGTAACAAAATGATCACATGATACTTCCATTAAATCTTAAATTATTTGATGTTAGAGTTTTCAAATAGGCTCATATATGGAAATTATCTTCATAGAAGATTTAATGAAAAAAAATGTCTTTCCAGGATGAAGGGACAGGGCAATGAATGTATGAGTGCTGTTGTTTCAAATCATATATTTTACACAGAATTAAATTTCCAAAATGAACCACAAAACATGCTTTATTACTAGGGTGATCCTACATAGTATGACATAGCTATCACACTAGACAGAAACTTAGTCAAAGTTTTGGCATTAAAAAATAAACTTTGGAATAACATGGTGCTGTATATCTCTGTACCTGCATGTTTACATTTTGGGTTTAAAGGTGCTTCATCAGAATGATCAGGACAGTCAAAGTCTCCATCACATTGCCACTGAGTATTTAAAAGACATCGCCCGTCAGCACAGCGGAATTCTTCTGCACTACACTGTCGGTAGCCTAGCAAAAAGAAAAAAGAAGTCTGCCTCATTCACATAATAAGCATAAACTAAGACTTCATCCTCTTAACGTACACAATTACTAATTTACTATGTGCTCACTCATGTCTTCTCTGGGAAGTAATTCTCATTTCTGTCCCTCACATTAGTCACAGATACAAGAAATATGTGTAGTATTAAAGTCAAATTAGAAAGTAAAGTTGGAAACAATGAACTCTTATTATTTCTAGGTGAAGAAATAAGAATTTAACATTGACTATTAACACGGTCAACTGTTGTCTATATCTTAGGGATTTTTCTAGGAATGGAAAACAAAAATGAAAGCTATTAAGATATGTTTTTCAAGTCTGATTTGGTGAGTATAGTAACAGAACATATGGGTGAACTCACTCTGAGCTATAACAGTAATTCTCAAGAGCTGTAATGTCAGGTTTATGTTTAGGAAGTAGCAGCCCAAGTGTAAAGGAATTGTTAAAATGAGAAAAAAATTCAAAGTAAATTTACAGAGTAGTAAGTACTCTACCAAAATTATCCTACATATTGATGCTTAGAGTTATTAAAAAGTTTTATTCAAATTACAAAATAAAACCCATGATTTGCTTCTGTTCATATCTATGCCTTATTTTTATGTAAAAATAATTTCATTTTCAATATTGTTTTAGAACTAACTTTTCCTATTTTCTTCAACAGTAAAAAGTCACTTCTATTAGATTTTCTTGATAAATCTGGCAAATGTTCTACTTTTAGAAGGAGATATTTTTAAGACTTAAAAAAATGAACAAAATTTCCATGGAAAAATAATTCAGCAGTGTGTAACTCATTTAAATGTTTGTCACATTACACCATAAAAGTAGAAATTTCTAAAACATACAGTTCCCAATCTCTCCTTCACTGCGCCTTCTCATCAAACAAACATATTCACCCCATGTTACCCCAGTCAGAATGAAAGCCCATCTGTATTGTTTTCTTCTCTGTACTGCCTATTTGTTTACTTAGTTTCTTCTAGTTAAACTTTATTTTTTTAAAGAAAGGTGTTTTTTGGTTAGTTAAACTTTAAACAATCCACACTTTATTTCTGTAATATGTACTTTCTGAAATTTATCTTTGAAACAACAACTATCAAGCAGCAATCGTCAAATTTAAAGGTGTCTCAAAATTCTGTATCCGCTTTTCTGCAGCATTTCATGCTGTTGACCACACTATCTTGGAAGGAGTTCCCTGAAAATATTTAAAATAAATTCTCTTGAGTGTCTTATATATCTAGCTTTGCTGTCCTAGTCTTGCTTCTGTTCTCTTCCTATATGAAATCCTCTCCTGTTTGCCCCTAAAGTATTGCACCTTTCAACTTTTGGTCTAATTTCTTTCTCTCTCTTTCTATTCTATATTATGTGGATATTCCCACTCCTGATGATCACAGAATGAACCTTCCATATCCTCACCATATTTTTAATATCTATATCCATATTTTCAAACACTCTCTATGTAACTTAGTGTGATCGCATAATTAACACTTCTTATTGAAGAGATCCAAAACTCTTGTCACACCTTGCTTTCCATGTGCATCAGAAAAACTGGTCTTTCACCTCCATTTTCTAAAGCTTATTAATAACAACCACCTACCAAATCAGTTAACCTAAAATATATTTTTCCCTCACATCAAGCTATAAAAAAGCTTAGACATTTGTAACTTCTATTCTTTTTAGACCACCATGCTTTTCCTGAATCAGGAACCATCATTTAACCATCAGAATTACTCCTGTAACATCCTAACCAGTTTATGTGACTTTTATTGCTCTTCTCTTGCATGGCAATATTTTTTCCACTCTGCTGAAAATGATGATTCAGGAGCATAAATTGTACATTCAATCGCAACATTCCGTTTTCATGTTTCAAAATGTATGTTGGCCTCAGAGGCAAAACAATTAAATACAAATTATCTAACATTGTATTTGTGGCTCTTTCTAATCTAGTCCCAAATTGACTTTTTAACTTCAATTTAGCCTCACAGAAAACTGATTGCTATTTATCAATCACACCAATTACAGGTCTTTATAAACACAGTCAGAATTTAGTATGTGCCTGGACTTGCTCTATTAACATGTTACCCTAAGATTTAAGCACTATTACTACACATATTTTATAGATGAATGTACTGAGGTTCAGGGAGGTTAAGTATTTCTCAAGGTCACACAGCTACCCAGTGACAAATTTTAAATTATGGTATCTGACACAAGAATGCATGCTGTCACCACCATGCGATGCTCCAAAGCTATGTTCTCTGATCAACACTCCGCTCATATTCTTTAGCACCTCACTTGAGAATTATTTTCTGTTTTGATCCCAGGTGTTGTGATTGTTCTTATGCGGCAAAGTATACTTTTATACTGTCTTTCTGTTTTTTCTGTTTGTGATTTCTTCAAGTTATGCATCTATTTCATTCATTTTGTATCCACTACATTTAATGTCTAACAGAAGGGAAATACTAAAATATTTCTGCTTCAGATTTATATTTTGAGTCACTAGGGAAATATTAAAATATCACATATCATACATTGTTGAAAGCAGAAATTATCGTAAAAACTGATATTCTCTGACTTCAAAGAGATTTATATCAAAGACCAAAGCTATGTACACTGCCCAGGGATGGAGCAAGAGGGCACTAAATCTACCACCTACCATGGGCGTATAAGAAATGTACAGCTTTTCCTTAGATGTGTATGTATTCGTGTAAATGTGTTAAAATATTTCTCAAAAACCACTAAACTCACATAAGTTTTCAACTTCAACTGGCTATTTTAATATGATTGTAAAGCTTATTTACTATTTTAATACAAAAATTATACAAATGCTGGTATATATAATAATCGTTGACTATATATGTAATACAAATATAAGTTATGTAATGATAACATTAAATTTTACTAAATTATTGGGATCCTAAACGATAAAGTCAAGGAAAGTATTAAGTCATCAGACTTTTTTCTGATAATTCTAAATGGTACTTTTTTTCTTACTTGATTTGTGTACCACATTGAATAAGCTAGACTAGAATTGTCTTTGAAGTTCAAAGCACTTCATACTGAAGACATTATGATTATTCCCTAAATAAATATACTATAAGTAGGAATGATTTTCAAACAAATATATAATTTATCTAGAGCTTACAATAGTATGGTATATGGCTATTACTGAATTTACTAATCCTCAATGACATTAGTAAATGTGCCTGTTTTTGTTATTTTTAAAATATATTCTCGAAATCAATTTAAATGTCTCTTTGCTTGAGAATCTCCTCTGTGAAACGTTTCAAAATACTTACCACACTTTAGGAGCTCATCGGAACCATCTCCACAGTCATCATCGTGGTCACAAACAAACTGCTTGGGAATGCAGACTTTATTATGGCACATGAAAGCATTTTCATCACATGTATTATTGGGTGCTAAGAAATACATCACAAAAATAAAGTTAGATGGGGACATATTTTAGTTTTTTGAAACTAGAGTTTTGGAAAACAGTTATATCCAATAATTTATTGCTATTTAGAGAAAGAACTTCATTTAATATCCAATACATCAGATAATCTAATAGTCTTATGTATACATATCAGAACTTTACATACATAATTCAAGGAATGTGTACATGCATAACTCAAAATTTCAGTATTTATAATTTGTACTACTTTAGAGTGAGCCTCACATTGTAAATCATGTAACGATTTGTAAGCTCTCAGAAGTATAAATTCAAATGTTCATGTGTTAGAACCAAATCATTCAGCTAATAAATGCCTGGATCTTTTTTTTTACCTTTGCCTATATTACATGAGTAAGCTGATAAACGTGTTACTTCCTAGTGAAAAATAGAGCTGAAAAGAGCCCCCAAATATTAGTGTTCATGACGGAAGTGAAAATCAGGAGGTCTGAGGAAGTTATTGTTTCTAAAAAGAAAATAAAACATTTGGGTAATTTCCACAAAGGTCTATTGAATTAGGTAAAGGTAGGATTTATGATAGCATGCATATCACAAGCACTACTTAAAATTAAGAAATATTGATCCTAAAATGGAGTATTGGTCCTTCAGGAATACTGATCCATGAAAGTAGCATAAATTATATATATATATTTGAACATCTTTCCTAGTTATAGTATATCCTTGTATATAAAAGATAAATGATATAGTAAGATTCAAGGACACTGCAAATGCCAAAAATCTGTCGTATGTTATTGTAGAACAAAGTGGAAAAAAACAAAGTTTTGCTCTGCCACTTATTTTGGTAACCTTGAGGAAGCTGTTTACCTTCTTGGTGCATCTGTTTCCCTATCAGTTTAAACAGGATAATAAAATCTATCTGATGAATTTCTCATAAGGACTAGATAAGATATGTGAAACAGATCTTCTCATATTAGATATTTAATGCATCCTTTGGTACTGTTTAAATTCTTATCATTACAATAATTATTTTTGGGAGATTCTCCGAAGCACTTCCTATGAAACTGTGGGACTTCACCCAGATAAATAAGAAACACATATAACAATAATTGACATATAATGAGCACTTGAAACAATTTAGGTGTTTGACATTCCCTCCCCTCCCTGTTCAATAAGCAATTTCTTCCTCAAAGACTGTATATTCCTTTGTTCAAGCCTTAAATTATGTTATCACGTAGTCTTGAAATCCTTCCGTGAAACTTCTGGGATTTTTTTGAATATACCTTTATGATGACCTTGTATACTGCATATACACCATTGTGTGTGTGTGTGTGTGTGTTTGTGAGTGTTCATTTTTAACACTTGAATTACAATTTTTCTTTACCCCAGACTCCATGTACTAAGAAATCTGACTTTGTCAGTAATTATTGACAAAGAATCGTAAATCAGTAACCCAACAGTGTTCTCAGAATATGATAAAGTATAGTTTACTTCCAACAAATTTATTTTAAAAACCTATGAAGAAGTCACATAGGAAAGTATTAAAAATCGGCTTTGTAATCAATGTAAAACTCAATTATTAATAACTAATTTTAACTCTGTGATAGTTTGTATAACCCAAGTGAATTACGCCAATTCAAGTATGTGAATTATTCTTTAAAATACTCAGCAACAATGACTTACAGGGCCTTAATGCTTTCAGGTCACTTGAGTACAATTTGCTGCATTTTAGCATAATTTGCTTAATAGTACCCATGTGGTCCGAAGTGTTAATATGCCTCCTGGAGTGTTATCTTGCTACAATAGCAACAGCATACTGGGACCATCTGGATCCCTGAATTGATACATAATCCTTTATTATGTAGCCCTCAGTGGCCCCATTGACCTTTATAGACACACAGATCAGTTTCAAGAGCAAAGTGAATTATTCCGCAACAATAGTTAAGTTCTGTGCAAATAGAACTGCCTGAAAGTTTTCTTTCTTTCATTTTTTTTTTCTGCTTTATATTTGGTGCACATATCAGCATATACACTCATACTATCTTATATTATGGCTTCAAATACAACATTTTAAAAACTAGAGCATCAGCCATAGGAGAGCTAAATGGCTGAATTCACAGAAAGGAGCAGAACTCAGTAATATTTCTGATAGATTACACAACTCACAGATCTCTTATGTGACCTTTGGATCATCATTCAAATATTCTGTCCCTTCATTCTTCTGATCATGCAAAATAATTTATCTCAATTTTTTACTATTGCATAATTGCCGGAAAATTTTCCCAGGTTACCTTTAGACATAAACTTAGTAAATTGTCTGACTTCCAGAATTGTCCCTTGATCTTTCAGCTACATTCAGCTATATCCAACTATTTTTACCTGACCCAAGGGTTAACATGCTATCTGTAGAACAAATAGGAGTTTACTGACCTCCTGATCAGTTATCATCTAAGATCAGAGTAGCCATTTACAGACTATCTGCACAAAGAAGTCCAAAGATTTTCATGGAGAAGTGGCGGGGGGGGGGTGAACTTTAGAAAGAAATCCCAGCCTTACCACACTCACACATGTAATGTATTTATACTCTCCCAGAAGTGAAATGATGAATCTGCAATCATCAAGATAGTTTTTAAATGAATAATAGCACCCTGAGTGCCTGAAATGCTCAACAGTAGTGAGAGGGGTTGCTGAACAGCAAGTACAAAGCATTCTACCTACCTGAATCTGACACTACTAAAGGTCTGGACATTAAGGAAGTAGAAGAAAATATGATGCAGTGAACACTATAAAATCAAATCTTAAGTTGCTATACTATTTTCTTTTAATTTTATTGTTACACGATTGCAGTGCATTATTTTTAGAGTCCTCATGGTGACTTGAACATAAGTTTTTTGAATCCTTTCCCTTTACTGCCCACCCCCCATCTCTTGACACTGATCCACCGCATCATGGTTGGTGGGCATGTAAGCTAATACAACAACTGTGGAAATCAGTATAAAACTTCTCAGAAAATAAAAATAGCCACTCTCATCCTAGGTAGGTAGCTTCCAGAGAGAGTGAAAGTCATCATATTACACAGATACATGTTTATAACAGCAAAACTCACAATAGGTAAGTCTTGGAAATAGTCTATATGCTCATCAACAGAAAAATGGTTAAAGCAAATGTGACATTTATGAATAAGATAGAACTACTCTGCCATAAAGAAAGATAAACTTGAAATATTTGTAAGAAAAAATATGCTCTATGTGGCTATAACACTAGGTGAAATAAACTAGACACACAACAAAAATATTTGGTGGGTTCTCTTATAGGAGAAACACAAAATACAAATTAAGAATACTATTTTTACTGACACAAATCCCTCTGTGACAATGCATACCGCATCCTGCTGTGGAGAGTTCATCACTTCCATCAGGACAGTCTCGCTCACCATCACAGAGCCAGTGTCGCGGCACACAGGCGTGGGAGCCCTGGCAGCTGAACATGTCGGCAGCGCAGGTGATGTCACCTTAACCCCACAGGAAAGATGCTGTTAGGTCATTTTGTGTCCACTAGACAATGTCTATCACTCACAGTTAGCATCCAAAGGAAGGGAAATGATAAATGGTGCTTACAAAGGAGTGTTTGTAATTATTTGGAATTATGAAATGTTATCCTTGTCTTATAACGTTTATACATTTTGCCAAAGAACATTCATTCTTAAACCGAAATGTTTGATTTCTTGAAGCTACATGGTAAAAAAAAAAAAAAAAAAAAAAAAGTATTTCTCTTTATAAAATGTAACAATAATAAATCATAGAGTAATGATTCAGGTGAAATAATATTTTGCCAAGAGTAAACCTATAAGGATAGTAACAATAATAATAATAGTTATATAATGTTATTGCTTATTACTGCATATTAACACAAATTTATTCCTTGCACAATTTCATCCAGTAGAATTATTATCATTTTCAGTTTCTTCACACTGATAAAAAAAGAAATTTAATCTTCAAGAACACTAAGCTAGGAGTGCAAACCCTATACCTGAGCACTTTCTTCTAACCACTGTTTCATTATTGTTCCTTCCCACCTTGTACTGTTGGAAAGTATATATTCTTGTACACGTTGATTCTACACATGTAATGAATACAATCCATCTGTTCTTTGTTTTATCAATTCATTGTTCCTTTAGGTGTCTGATGTTATTTTTCAAATAAATAGAACAAAGAAAAAATAAAAAGCTTATTGACTTTCGCCTCCTTAGTAAGCAGACATGGCTGGAGCAAGCAACAGCTGCCCCAGTGAGAGAACCAGCTAGCATCTCCAGAGATCTGCTCCATGTCGGAACTTAGGGTGCTGGGAAACAAAGTAACCAACTCTCTTCCCTGGTAAGCAAGTTGAGCATCTCTTGAGAGGATGACTATATGCAATATAGCAAATAGGGGGGATTTCCTTCTAACATTTCTTTGAAGGCAAATATCGTTGTCACTGTTTTGCTTTGTTCTGATTAATCATATTGCTCTTTCAATGTTCTGTTTTGATAAGTTCTATAATATTCTGTATTTGGTTTGATTTTGCTATACCTGATTAAAAGAACAACTATTGTGAAGATAACAAGATATACAATGGTACCTATTATTGTTATACCGGTAACCTGCTGTGACGTTCTGTACCAATTTCACTGCCCTGTCTCAATTGGCTTTGTTCTTTCTTGTTGTGTTGTATTTTACTACCTTCAAAATAATAAAAAGTTTTTTTTTTTTTTTTTTTTAAAAAAAAGCTTATTGACTTTGACTATAAATTCCAAGAGCTATACAGGGCTTCTCTTTTCTACTCTTGATAAAAGCAGTAAATCAGATAACAAATGACTGTCTGATCATTTCTCATGTCTTCATACATCTTTGTGTGTGTGTGTGTGTGTGTGTGTGTGTGTGTGTGTGTGTGTGTGTGTGCTCGTGCACACATATGTGGATTTGGTGTTTATAAGAAGTATTTGTTGAATGAACTGACCTGACCCTTGATCTTACTTTTTCCAATTTCAGTTTCTTATTGAACAGGTACCTATTATCGATGGTCAAAATATATGTTTGAAATATTAAAAATACTTGCTATTTCCAGAAAGAAAATATGGCTGATTTGATCAATGTAAGATATTTGTTTCCAATCACTTAAAGAAGTGATCCGGTGTGATTTAAGTAAATAATTATTATCATCTTACTTCTCAATCACAGAGTAATTAAAAGTAAAAAATGCTTTTTAATTCACTATTTTCAAAATAGGTGGCCACGAGATATCAAAAGAAAATTTTCTCCAGCATATACATAGATTTTTCTGTTGTATACATTAGTCCAGAACGTAGGATGGCAAATGAATGTTGAAATATCTCCTAGGAAACTCAGATTTATTCATTTGATTAGAATTGATTTTTTTAATACTATGAAGCTGAAATAGGGTCTGTTGTCTGAAATTTTAAAAACCTATAGGATAAATATTGCTTTCACTTACAAAGACATTTACATACTTTTACATTGTTAGGAGATTTTATGATAAAATTTTCTTTGTATATAAATTAGTTGTACATAGTTCAACTAAATTATTCCACTTTCCAAGCTTGCTCTTGAACATAAGGTATTATTTTCATTATTATCCTCACAAGTCATTGCTTTACTATCTGTCAAAGTTCTAATAATATTTTGCTTATTTTTAAAAACTGCATTCTTTCTATTAAGGAAGTTGTGATCAATGCAAATTTTCTAGTATCTTTCCTTATCATAACTGCAATCTGTTCCCAAAGTAGACATAATAGAAAAATTACTGATTTGGCCATAAAGATGTTTATTTCTTCCTGACCTTGATGAGAATTAATGTCTGAAACTCCCTATTTTTAAAAGGAGGGGTAGGCTGAGAAAATTACAAAGATATCTCCTGCTTTAAAGTGGCATAAGGTTCTTTGCAGTTAATTTGCTGGCTCTTTTGATAATATTCAGCAGATTCTGTATTAAGAACATGCCAAACAGTGTAGTCAATTGAGGAGAAAATGAGCCAAAAGCAAAATTTGTGGATTCATTCCATAGTTGTTACTGCCATCTGTACATACATCACCTTTCTCAGGGAAAAGAAACCCAAGGGAGAAGACAGATGAGCTGTGAGATTGCACTGGATCTATCTTGTTCACCTACTCAGAATATAACCAAGGAAGCTATTACTCTATTTAATATTTTGGAAACTGGAATTCTGCTCCTACCCCTGATATCACTAATTAGATGAGAGACTTCAGGTAAATTTATTAAGTTCTGTAAGTTTCTTCAAAATTTAAGAAGGACTAGATTATTGCAAGTCAAAGTTATTATGTGGGTATTAAGAAAGCATGTGTTCATATTCATATCAGAATATTTGGAGTTGGAGATTAAGAAAATACATTTCTATCATGCAGTTGAGAAATTCTGAGATAAATTTTTCATACTCATTTATCTATTTCATTATATGTGATTTTTAACATGTTTATCCTGAACCAATATCAAAAGCAGTATAAAATATCACATGCAAATAAAGTATATGATCTACATGAAATACAAAGGTAAACTATTTAATAGCAGATAAACAAGTACATTACTATTTTATTACTTTTTTTAATTTATAGAAAAACTGTAAAATGAAATTCTATAATAAAATAATATGATAACTGTATATTATTATTTCTTAAAGTAGGTATTCAGAGTACAAGACATGGACATTAAAATTTCTCTAATAAATATTAGCAAAAATTGTCCTTTTCAATAAGCTAAGAGATGTTAATATTATAACTGTCTTGTTTTTGTTTTCAGTTTTCTCTATAGCCTTTTCCCATTTCTCCCACTCTAGACTCTTTTTCCTTTGAACAATTGCTTCCTCATTATTTCTTTAAAAGCAATGTGAAGACACTGACATATAAATGAGAGAAGAGAGAGCAGGAGACAGAGTAAGAGAGACAGAGACAGGAAGAGAGAGAGAGAGATTAGAGGTTACAAGACACATTTACAGGAGAGAAGCAGGAAAAATCAAACAATGAGAATTGTGAACTATAAATGAAAGTTATAAAATTATAAATGAAGTTTGCAGATACACTATTGTCTCAATGTAAAGGAAAACTTCTTAATATTGAATAAAAACTATATTTAAAGACAAGAAAACAATCGGTGTCCTGAAAATAATATAATATATATTTATAAACTCAGTATAATATAATATAATACAATATAAATGCGTTTATAAGATTAATACATTATAAGAAAGTTTTCTGTATGCTTTTAAAAATCCTGAATACTGAATGACAATTACAGGTGCAAAAAAACTATGTCATCACAAAAAATGATAAAATCATCTGTAATCTCAGCACTCTGGGAGACAAAGGCAGAAGGTCTGTAAACTTAAGTCCAGCTACAGCCAAGTGGAAAGGCCCTGAGCTCAATCTCATTACCCCAAATATACTAATATATAAATAAGAAAAAGGAAATCAAACAACTACGTAGTACTTTGTATTACTTATGTTAACAATAAGATTAGCATATTAGCAGGCGAAGTTTTGTGTATGTTTTAAAAGGACTAAGCCTACTAACGGAGAACATAAAACAAGCAGCTCACCACAAATGCTGTCACTTTCATCTAGTCCATCTCCACAATCATCTTCCCCATCACAAACCCAGTGCTTAGAAATACATTTCTGAGCAGAACAAGCAAATTGACTCCAAGAGCAAGAAGAATCTAAGACACAAAAAGAATGTTTGTTGTTAGTTGGAAAAGGCAGGGAGATATGTTCCCATGCTCTATTTCACTGTAGAGTGTCTATGCATAAAAATAATGTAAAGCAGAGGGATATTCTGAATTTTTTTTATCAAGAAATTGTAAATGCTTGCGAGTGTGTGTGTGTATGCTTCCTCTGAGCAGTATACAATGTAATCATGTGTCAAAATATCACATGGTGCTTCATAAATAATGTGTAATTATAATGTGTCACTTGTAAAACAGAAAAGAGACAATGGTTCAGATCTTTTTAAAACAGTTGACACTGAGAATGTTCTTTATCAGCTTTGCTAAAATCAACCACAATATTTAAAGCCAAATTCCTCTTATGTGTAACAGCATCGTAAAAAGTTTAACAACAGTTTGTGTATCCAGCCCTGCCTGAGTTCCTTAACATAACTCTCACAGGACTTGCTTGAAACTAGTATGTATGCTAGATTCTCTCCCCAAATAAGAAAAAAAAAAATTATATCTTTCTCAAGGTAAGAGCATAATGGAATGGGCAGCTGAAGTTTGTTTTTAAAGGTCAGGTGACTAAGGGAGTTTTAGGTTGATAAGCTCACAACTTCATCTCTATATATACTTGACATACCAAATCTTTAGTTTTATTTCCCTAGAAAGAGTTGAATTTGTTATTCCTGATGAAAAATATTGCCAGATACAAAATGCTGCTATTTTCTTTCCAGATTATGTGTTTTTAATGATTGTTCTATTTACTTTTCACATCAATTTTTATATGCTATAGTTCACCCACCCAAGCCTTCCCTTTACACTCAGCATATTTATCATCAAGAATATCTACAAAACTCCCCCCAAATTCAACTTTCAAAACATAAATTATTGTAAATATGAAAATTTCTATTTTAATCCTGAAAGCTATTTATAAAACTTTGCATTTCCTATGTCAAATGTTTAATTAGATCACTTATAGAGAAAGAAATATAGAAAACCAAAGGCTTGGAAAAAAATGAAAGAAGATATAATCACATATTCATTGTAATTATGAATCCATATTAACTACATTTGAAGATTTTGTTAGTCTTTTTCAGAACTGACTCAAATATAAAGATATATAGGATATGAGTCAACCAAAATGTACTTTTTCATTTCTTTATGACATTTACTTTCAGGAGAGTTTGACATTTGATAGAAGATTCATAGGTTAATCTTTTCCTTTCTGTGTATTCAATATAGTGAATGTTATTTATGTTAAAAGAAAATAATGAATATACCGTTTGCATTTATTTATGAAATTTCTTTTCTTGAAAAAGATCCATGAATTTGACAAAATAAAGTTGAAAACCTTTCTTAATTTGACACCTTAAGATAAAATGAACACATGAAAACTAGGAGGTAGAATGCAAGGAATACAAACTTGAAGAATTAGAAGTTTAAGAGTATTATTTACAGCTATATACCTAATACAAAATTCTAAATAATGATGCAATTGCTTATTACAGATTGGAGAAGTATAATGAGTAACATACCTAGTCTGCCAAAACAAAAATGTATAAGTACTTCGGCCGTTTGCCATACTGATAAATGTCTGGAAGATAATGATCACTACACCAAGCATTTCTTACAATTGTAGAGGCAAAAGTTACCTTCATTAGTCTCATGGTGCCTCAATAAATTTAGCATTGAAATATTTATACAATTTTTTTTGTTTTCCTGATATGTAAGTTTTGGTGGACTTTATATTAAATACTTAGTTTTCATAACAGAAAGTAAATATATTAGATAGTATGTACAGTTAATGAATCAGGAAATGAAGATACAAGTACATAATTCCTGGCCATGGTGCACACTCCTATAATCCCAGATTCAAGAGGCTGAGATAGGATTGTTTCAAGTTCCAGACCAGTCTGGGCTACAAACTGAGTCCAATGCCAGCCTGAACTGCATAAGGAGAGCCCGTCTCAAAAAAAAAAAAAAATCTGGTGGAATCCACTCAGTAAAGACAAAAAGGAGACTGTTTTATTCATTTAATCTCTACTTCTTATTGTAACTTTTACAATTTTATATTATTTACTGAAATTTACATCAAAATCAGTTAACACTATTTTTATACCTTGTATAAGAGAACACCAGCACAGAAGTAATAACATGGATGGTTCACAGAGCTGACCCTAGATAGAGTGTCTTACCGCAGTGTAGCTCATCAAGTCCATCCTCACAATCTTTCTGACCGTCACATATCCATGTATTCAAAATGCATCTTCCACTAGGACAACCAAAATAATTTTCTTCACATTTGTGTTTGTTTTGAACTGTGATAAAATATAAATGTAATGTCAAATATTTTAACATCTACACTAGATGTAGGTAAAATATTAATACTCTGTGAATTAGAAAAGGCAAGTAGGAAGCTATCAACTAAAACATAACTGAGACGTTCCACTTAGGAATGTCAAGGGCATGAAAACCAAGGCAAGATGTTGAAACTATCACAAACCAAAAGGGAATGGGGAGACAGACCAAAGACCAAAGACCAAATCTAATTCAGTATCTGGGTCCTGCACCAGAAAGAAGTTACTGATTAAAATAAATGGCTAAATCAAAACTGTAGATAGAGTCAGTGGTGATGAGTCTATGGCACTCATGTTATTTTTCCTTTAAGACAAAATATGTTAATGTATGAGCTGTTTCATTAAACTAAAACATCAGAACTCAGCATTTAGTGTAGGCATGTTTCAGTAACAAGTTTGTGTTATAGTGTGGGAACTGATATTTGCCATTGGTGGATGATATGGCTCAGCAGGAATAAGTGCCTTCCTGTGAAGTGCAAGGTCTTGAGTTAGATTCCCAGTATCAAAAATAAATAAATAAAATAAAACAAAGAGTTCACCATCACCAAACTTGATATGAAAACAAAATATAACAAAATATCTAAATTGGATTTAATTGAGTCTAACACTCATATTTGTTGGAGAAATATTCTTAATTTCATATTCATAATAAGAACTAATAAAAATAAGCATAGATGATATTTCTTATGTGTGGAAAAATGTGGATTTTGTATTTCTGGTGTCCTCTGTCTTGAATGTTATAATGCTAATTAAATAAATATTCTCTACTATAAGGAAGAAAAATGTTACAATGGAATGTCTGTAAATCAATACTATAGTATATGTTCAGCATATGTGAGAACGTCAGCGTCAAATAAATAAGTAAATAGAAAATTATACCACACAAATAAGATATCAATAAAAATGTGTATGTAAAATTGCTTTGTAAATTACAATGTTTAAAATTATTGAATTACTATCATTATAACCAATAAGAATGAATATTAAATACTGGTTATTTTCTCTTCACTGCATATCACCTTTCTCCTAGCTCAGGAATGACATGCCTCTATACTGACTCATAGTCAATTAGGAAGACAGTGTACATACATCAATCATATTATGATGGTCCATTACTGATAATTTACCATAAAATTTACTCTTATTGCATAATAGAATAAAAACTCAATTTTGAAAGAATTGATCATGAAATTAAAAAATCTTGAGTATACATTACATCTAAGACTTTTTAGGATGTTGTCTAGATAAGATGCATAGTAAGAGTACACTTGAACAACCTAATGCTAACTTTCTTTTGTCCACCTGTGTCTCATAAACCGTCTTGAACATCCCTCTCTTAGCCAATACAAAAGTCAGGCTTCTCTATTGGTTTTGAAGATTAGCTGTTAAAATAATGTGTTAGTTCTAAAAAGAAATGAAGATATGAAAAAGAAGGTATCAATATAATGAATCTCTGTTATATCTTGCCTTCAAGATTATTGCAAAAATTAACAATAGCCATAAAGTGGTAAGTAACATGGTGTTGCAAAACATTTTGTGAATAATCCAGATACTCAGTTTCTACAAAGCTATATATGAAATTCTGTATTTAAATTTTTTGTTAATTAAAAACACACACAAAAAAATGAAAGAACTTCAGTGAGCCATAATCAAATACTCCCAGAGAAGTTTCTCCACTTTCTTCAAGGATGTAGCTAACCTTTTCAAAACCAAATATATGAGATAAAATTGATATCATAGAATGTTATATATTGTTGAGTAGAAAAATAAAATCAACTATTAATCAATTAACTGATAATCCAAGAACTATTATGAATAATTTTTCATAATATATTGTATGTGTGTATAAACTTGTGTAGAATATCCACAATTTTATTAATTAAAATATTTCAATACATTTTTAAATGTCAAAAAAGTAAGGAAAAGTGAGTGTTAGCATGCCTTTAAATCTTCAAGGTGAGACTGTTTTTCTTTCCAGAATTACCTGGGCACTTTAATTCATCTGAATAATCTCCACAGTCATTAGAACCATCGCATATCCAGGTTGGCAAAACACACAGAGAGGTAGAATTACATTTTATGAATCCTTCAGTTTTCACTCCAAGTTTATAGAAATGTGTGCAATCTGTGTTATCTAAAAGGATGTAAGCAAAAGAAAATTGAAAGCATCTCATTTGCAGAAACTAAGTGGTCAGAGAAGCAAGAAAAGTTAAATTCATTTGAAGAAGTAAATATGCAATTATCCTATACAACAGGGGTTAATTACATGTCAATTCAGTATAAGGTGCACTGAAAACTTGGACAATGTTCAGTGCAATGTCAAAGGTGTCCAGGCATGAACAAACCAAAGGGAAAGAAATATCTTACTGCAGTTCTTTTCATCCGAAGCATCTGCACAATCGATGTTCTGGTTGCATCGTGCTGATCTTGGAATGCAAGTTCCATCTGCACAGTGGAACTCAACAGTGGCACAGGTTGAAACTAGCAAAAAAGTATATGGATAGATGAGACAGAGAATAGTTCCTTGATTTTATAATTTGAGCATTATAATTAATTCATATTATTTTATCCAGTATTATTTTTAACTGGCTCCTGTTTCATGCTGGTTAAATGCCTCTTCTATGATATTCCTGTCATAAAAATTTCCCTGCATTTTAATATTGACAAGCTGAATTGGGACTGAATTACATATTGTTTATGGTTCTGGAGGCTAACTAAATTGTGGGTTCCTTGACAGCAAGGAACATTTGATCACCATGGTAACACAAGCCCAGCAATGAGACAATAATAACAAATCAATGAACATTATTGATTATTCTCTCTCCTTCCATCATCTTTAGGGAACGACTAAGACAATATACAAATGATTGATTTAATGCCAATAAAAAGCCCCAGTCTGGTTGCCAAGAAATAATGGAGTATTTATTTCTATGACACAAATAAAACACAGATAAAGACAGAGTGGATACAGATATTGGGATTACCATTCAGCATTTGCTTTGCTAGGCATAGCAAACACATGAACATTTCTGAATCATCTATGCTATGTTATTATTTTTTTTTTTTTGTACCAGGGATTGAACTCACGACCTTGACCTTATGCTTGCCAAGCAGGTGCTTACGCCACTGAGCTAAATCCCTGGCCATGTCAGTATTCTTTAAATGCCATAACACTAACTTCTGTTATAGGAAATACAGTATGAATGACCCATACCAACAATACATAAAAATGTAAAATTTTTATATATGTTGCCATAAAGTGTGGCTCTCCAATTTCCTGTTTAAATGAAAATTAGTTTTGAATTGCATCATTATATATGCTTTGTACAAAATTCCTTTTTAAAAAATCATGTACAGTTTGTATTTCTAGATTGCCTGTCTTTCCATCACCATACAATGATTTTCAAAAATATGCTGTGAATAGTTGAGAGGTATGTCATGCATGTTAGATTAATTTAGGTAAATTTTATATAATTTCAAATTTCCACAGGTTGATTACACTGAATTACAACCTAAAGGCTGATTATGCCACTTTCAGTCGTGTTAGTATTTTAATGAAATTATTTAACCATAAATAGAAGTTATATAAATTGTAAATATATAAAATGATATTTTAAAATATGCAAATTTTACTCAAGGGTGTGTATGTCATTTGTATTTCATGATGCACTACTTTTATATTTAATTGTATCTTAAAATTGCATATTTATTTGCCTTTAAATAATGAGTAGAATAAGTGTTTTATTTACAATTAGCAATTATAATTGCTTCACTATTTTCTTTATCTAAAATAAATTTTAGTGTGTAAAATACATAATGCCATGAAGTGTGGAGTTAAATGCATTGCACCAAAACAGAACAAGATAGCTTTTTTCTTTTATATGAAAAAATGCCTTTTCTATTCATTTCTATAGCGTCTTAAATTCAGTTTATTACCCAAAGGAAATAGTAAATCAATATATAACATAGAAGATAATCATGTCATGCATTTTTTATTTTGTTTTTTACTTCATTGCTAGTAATTCCTTTATGTATTTGATGCTTTCTTTCAATGGCTTTGTTCAGAAAACAGGATGCATTTCTGTACAAAGTAGCATGTTACTTATAATATTTCCAGGAAAAGCTCTAAAGTTCTACATCTTATTACCCTTGTATTACTTTTTTATATTATACTGAAGCTAAAGGTTAAGGCCCCCAGAAAAAAAAAAAAAAACACTGCTTGGAGACAATTGCATCATCTCTGTATTTCCCTCCAAACTTGCAGAGAGAATCCACAGCATTGTGTCAGGGAATTCATCTCAGCTAGTAATGGCAGATGAGAAGCCAGAGAGACAAACTAGGAAACCATGCACATTGGGGTCTACCAAAGCACCTGCTTATGAAAGCTGGAGACTGTATTTTTTTTTTAACAGCTATTGGGTTTCAAAATGATGCTGAAGCTCTGAGGTGGAAGTAAGAATAAAGAATGATTTAAGAGAAGACTGGAAAAGTGGGACAAGCAGAACAAGTCTTGGACTGAATTCTGGAAAGAAGAAAGACACAAGAAGAGGAACTCTGGATAGTATTTAAAAGAATCAGAAAAGGGATGAGGTAGAAGGTCAGGGTAGGAGACAGCAATAGCAAATCTAAGTGATCTATTTTTCTCTTCCATTTTGCCAACTCATAATTGGACTAATGAACCCTGTGAAAAGAGTTCTGTTCTATCACAGAGTGCAAGATGTGCAAATAGAAACATACTGGCCCTTTACACATGGTCTTGCATCCACAGGTTCCATGATTCAATGCAGAGTCAGGATCATTAGAAGTTTAGAAGGTGAGGAATGGCAAAGGAATTGGACATACAGTGTGACTGTGAAATTTTGAAAGCATTAGAGGCAAAATGGTGGTGGAGATTCATATCCCTTACATTACTACACAAGGATGGGAAAAATTCAGAGATAGACAAATTTTTTTAAATAACTCAACAAATTCTTCTGCCACAACCTGTTCTTTTCTTTTGTCTGAACTACAGTTCTAACTCATTTTATTTTGGTAAGTCAGCTACTGATATTTGTTTCACCCTAAGGGTAATTTTTGAGAGAGAAAGATACTGGAATCTCTAAATTGCCCAGTGAATATGAAAGTTTTCTGACAGTTGTCCTCAGGCTAAAAGTCTCAAAACAGAGATAAGAGAAAATAATTGATCCAAATAAATATAAGCCAAGTGAGAAATGCACAACTTTTCTCTCCAGATTGTGCAAAAGAAAAAGGTATCCTATAAAATGTGTATAAAAACATACTGAGTCTATTCCAAGAATAGCAATGAGACACTACAAAGGAAAAGATCTGACAGGGATTGTGGATCAAAGTCGTGGCAGAAGGGAAATTGCCACACACTCTCCTTCACATATTTGCTTAATTTTTCTACTTCTTCCATCTTCTTTTCACCCTGTCTGTTAACATTTTTAATGAGATATGAAACGTGTGAACTCAACTGGTCTTTCTGTGAATCTTCAGATATTTCCTGTAAATAACCTGAGACCCTTTTATCTTCCAAATCCCCTTCCCTGTGGAAGGAGGAAAGAAACATGAAAAAAAAAAAAAAAAAAAAAAAAGGATATTTGCTCTTATATCTCTATTCTGTTTATTTACTTATTATTTAATTTACTGCTTATTTTTGGAATATGTAAACTCAAAAGTAGTCATAATTTTTTCCTGCACTATGTTTATCCTTTTCTTGTAGCTTGCTGTTGGTGGGACCATTCAAGGTTTTCCTACGAAGTCAGGGAAATTAAAAAAACAAAAACAAGAACAAACAAACAAAAAAACACCAATTTATTTTTCTAGAAGCTTCAGAACTCCAGTCTACCTGAAAGTATTCTGTGGCCCCAAACTTCCCCAGGAAAGTAATTTATCCTCATCTTAACAGCAAAGGAGGTCCATCACACACTTTCCCTGAATCTACTTAACCCGTGACACACCAAAAGAAGAATACAAAATATCACACTCTTTGAACAACTCTTCTTATCCTTCTCAGATAGTTTGATTCTAAAGCTTTCAAAAATGGAAGAAAACAATTAAACACACAGTAAATAAAAGATTGATAAAGATTTAAGTTTTTTTCATTTAAGAGAAAAGAAAGGTAAAAAATAATTCCTTATAACCTACATTTTTGCTTTGTAAGTAGACTCTCTGCCCCAGTGGAAGTAAAAGAAATGATAATTGCCATAGAAGTATAAATTAATGTAACTTTTCAAATATAAAGTTCTATCATAGCCTCACACTTTATCCTATCAAATCTTCCTGTATAGTCATATCATAACCTCTGATCATATTACATTTTGTATTTTTTCTTTTGGTTCAGAAAAACAGATGATTTGTATGCCTTCATATATATGCAATGAAGTGTTGCATTAACTTTAGAAAGTGAGAAGAAGTAAGATGAAAGACACTACGAGGGAATCTTCTTATTATCCTTAAGCTCTTACACAAGCCCTTTCCTTCATTGTCATTATTTGCTATGAGGGAGAGTTTGGGGGATACAGATGGAGTTATTTCTCTTTACAGCCTACTTTAAAAAAATCAGAAGGGTCTTCCTCCTTTGGCCTGCAGACTGTCATTTAAGGACACTATATGAGCCAATTTAAGATCAAAGAAAAATCAAACCCAGACTACACAAGTGAAAAGAGCAGATTTTCCATCAAAAAGCTGCCCATTTGTTTAACTGTAGAAGTTGATTAAGTTAAATGAACATACTACTAGTAAGTAATAAAATCTTTGTGTTCAGGATTTAATTTCAAAAGTTCTTTTTTATGAAAGAAGGAACTAAAGTCTTACACTTTATTAATTTTAAAATAGTCAACTCTACACTTTTATACTATTGTTATACAGCAGAAAGGATAGGACAAAAACTTAATCTGCAAATCCACTCTTTACAGGCCTACAAATATGAGTAGGATAGTCATAACCCAAAAGGTAGTGTTTGAACTGTAAAAAAAGAGAAATGACATATGAAAGTTTTTTCTTGCTAGTTAGCAACTTGCGCTGATATCATTAGACAAAAGTAAAACTCTGGTTACAGTTTCAATTTCCCACCTAAGAATTTACCAATTTCCTAAAACAATTTACCAAGTATGATATTTCATATATTAAAACATACAAATTTATTTACCACTTTGAAAAAATTTTCATTTCTCAAGAAAACCCATCATAATATTAATTTTAAATTATTTCATTTTGAAAACTTTGGTTTAAAATCTATCTATAGTTCAGTTCCTTCATATTCTACCTTTGTATTTTTACCATTTTATTTAATGTTTTTAGTGTATACCTTGCCATTTGCAAATAATAAATAGAAAATACTCATTCCTCCGTGTTCTAGTGTATTTTTCTCTATTCTTCCAAATGCTTATTCATTTCTTTCTCCCTATTCTCAGTAACTTACAATTTTAATCATTTATAAGTATAGTAAATAATAGGTAATTTAATTTGCAAACGTAAGTAGCACTTCCTAAACTTTCAAATTTTGATACTCATAGAGTGCCACAAATCATGCCATACAAAATGCCACAGAATAACCTCCACATTTATATGTACTTACAAAATAAGCCCTTTGTATTCATTGTGCTCTCTTTTTTACTTCTGCATAGCATTCTCATCATAACTGGCCACTCATCTTTTCTGACAACTTAGTATATTCATTGTCTTTATTCCTTTACCATCCATTTGGAACTTACATCGGATACATATAGTTAATAACTACTTTCTTATCCTTTCTGTAACACTTTAAAATGATGAATGATTCTCCTTTCATTGAAAATAACTCATTATGAACATCCTTCTATAAATCCTGTCATTATTATTTAGGAAATATTTCCAGATAATTCTGTTATTCTCTCTCTGAAAACACATATTACTCTGTATACTGTGAAATTTTTCTCCTTAATGAATCCACAATCAATATTTCTCGTCTAAATGTAAGCTCCAGCTCTATCTTTGCCTTTGAAATAGCTTCATTTGAATGTCTACAGTTATCCAGTCGCAGAATGCAAACTTTCCTCGTTACTTCTCCTAACTTCAACACAGATAAAAGACCCACAGATATAAACTAATGCAATAAAACAATAATTTTGTTGCATGTCAAAAATGTCTTAAAATTTCTGGTGTCACTTTTCATGTTATTTACTTACTTTGCTTTTGCTGTATTTGTTATCTAAGATTTTTCATGTTAGCTTTTAAAAACTGTTAAAGCTGTCTTCTTCCCCTTGATTGTTACCTTTCACTGCATGTGAAAACCTCAGGTTTTATCTCTCTGATCTCATTATCATAGTTTTCCTTTACAAATATATTTCTTTTCTTTTTTAAAATAGTGTGAACTTGCCTTGCCCTGCTTTAAACCTCCAGTAATTTTCTGTGAATATAAGATTAAGTCAGAATAGCACAAGGCACCTTAACATCCTCCTCCCTTCTGGTAAATGGGTTATTGTTTTTTCCTATTTTTCTTTTAACCAGTCCTCTGTATAATCTGACTTTCTTGTGGCTTTCAATTTTGTTTAATCTATTGGAACTGACTTCTGTTTTTACTGTTCTACCTTACCTATTCATGAACACTCATATTAAATTTAATAGCATATGGAATTGTGAGGATACTTTCAAGTCACACACACACACAGTGTTTTTACATGTGTGCCATCATTGAACCTTATGTATCTCTTCATCTTTTTGCATTACAATCTTTCACTTAAGGTTTGAACTGCTTCAGGGTAAGACAGATATATTTTATTAATATTGCATTGCAGTTCTTAAAGCATGGCGTTCAAAGTAGTATGTTCGATGACTAGAAATACTTTTGAAAGGAGATTGCTTTGAAAATATTTTAAACCTACATTTTAGAAATCCATAAATGTCAGACCAAAAAAATTTCATTTAATATGCCAATATTGATATTCCATTCATTTTTTACCAGAATTTTAAAAAGGTTTGATTTTTAAAAAATGCAAATGTTTTCATAGCATTTACTATTATGTTAAGTACTATTTGAGAATATTCACTATTTGGGTTTAATATCAATATTCTTACTTATTTTTCCTATCTCATAGTTTGAAAAATGGAGGCATAGATTGGTTAGTATCTTATACAAAGGTAGACAATAAGTGTTGAAGTACGAATTGTAACCCAGTTAGTCTGGATTGAGTATCTGCCCCAGGATACTCTGTGAGAAATATTAAAAAGTACCTTATTTACACCATAGGAATAAAATGGGAAAACTATAGACTGAGAAACCCATTAAAGACTATTAAAAGCTTAAAGCACATACACATGAAAAAATAGCTCAGTTAGGAGGTTTGTTGATGATTAGATACGTGGGTAGAAAAGCATCCAAGAAGTAAGTCTGAAGCACAGTGCCAAAGCTGCTTGGCATTAGAAACAAGAGATCATGCAGTTAGTAGCACATTAAAGAACAAGGAGAGGGCTGGGAACTTGGCTCAGCGGCACAGTGCCTGCCTGGCAGGCACTAGGTCACGAGTTCAACCCCTGGTACAAAAGAAAAATAATAAGGGGAAATAGTTTTGGAGGAGTAAATTCAATATTGTACATTTTTAGTAGAAAAATCCAGAAAGGAGTGATGCAAAATAGGAATAATGGGAAATGTAAATTTAAAAGTGAACAAAACTGTAAAAATGAAAACAGGTATAATTTTTAAATTGAATTATTTTTAAATGATAGTTCATTATTTATATAAATTGTATGAAGTTTAGATCAAGTTAAACATCACTACTTTCTCAGTAAAACTTTCAAAAATATTTAGCCTTTTGAAATACGGTCAATATTACATTATTGTTATCTGTAGTCGTTTTACTATCCAGAAAGTTTTGCTCTCCTACACTGTAATTTAATAGTCATTGATCAGTGTAGGCTTCCTCACCCTATGCTCAACTTCTATAAAATCTACTTTATACAATTTTATGTGTAAGTGAAATCATGCATATTTCTCTTTTGCTGACTTTATTTCACACAATATAATGATCTAAAGTTCCATTCTAACAGCATTTAGTGGAATGTGGTCTGTAAACATGATTAGATGTTTTATACCAAAATGTGTTCAAGGAAAAATACTTTGGAAATGTTCACACATCACTTTTTAAAGCAATTTTCATAGCGTAATTTTTAAAAATTACCTTTACAGTCTAATTCATCAGAGTTGTCACCGCAGTCATTTTCACCATCACATAACTTGGCATGAGGAATGCAACGACGATTATGGCATGGCTTAAAACCTCTTCGACAGCTTCTGTTTTCTTAGAAAACAAATTAGAACTCACAGTTAGAGATCTTGTAAAATAATGTTCACAAAATGAAAATCATAGATAACATTTCATTCATAAGGACTGCTTTATAGATCTGTAAAACATTTATGAATCCACAAAGTAACTACAGTTTGATATTCAAGCTTTGGTTTATAAAATTTATCTGTGACCAAGGCATAGATCAATATCTGTCTTGACTTAGTGTTTCATGCCTGAAGATCTCATCAAGTTATACTTACAATATTGTTTCTTATACAGAAATAACATAAAACATATTTAAGAAATCTCTACATCAAAGTAACAAGTACATTCCTTCTACATAACTACTTTTTCATATGCAAACATTTTATAACAAGAAAAATAGCAATAAAACATCTAGTCCTGACTGTGTATGTTGAAGAGTCACCTCAATATCAATAGAATCAATATCCTAAGATGTCACTGTGTTTTCTAAACTTGATCTTTTATTTCTATTTATCTTAGTGAAGGTCTGTAACCATGCTGTTTTTTGGCATAAAAACTGTCAGTAACAATGGTAATAACTGCATTAAATGCTCACATTGTACCAGGATTTTTGTTCATCTTGTATATATATTGGCTTATTTAATTCTTTCAAATACCACTAAAGCTTGTTGTTTTGTTAATAGGAAACTAGAAGATATGTAATGTGCTTTATCACAGTAATCTCAAAGAAATTTTGAGAACAAAGATAAATTTCAGGTGTGGTTCCAAAGGTTGTGCACTGTACCTGGGTTGGCAAACTATTACTCACAGGCCAGATTAAGATGTATATCTTTGTATTGCTGTTGAGCTAAAAAACGGTAGTTACATTTTTTGGAGACTGTTAAACTGATAAGAACAGACACTACATTTGATCTTAGCCAAAAGGCTGATATTGTAAAAATCAAAGAAAATAGGATGGCAGTCCACACCTACGATCTCAGTTCCTCCCGAGGCTTAGGCAAGAGGATTGCAATTCTGAACCCACTCTGAACAATTTAGCAAGACCCCACTTCAAAATAACATTAATAAGAAGACTGTGAATTTAGCTCTGTTGCAGACCATGCCTGTGTTCAGTCCCTAGGACTATAATAAACAAGTAAATAGTTCATCACCAAGAGACCAATCCTACAAAATATATTAGAAGTTTCCTACATAGAAAGTCAAATGACAATTACAATCATCAAAACATGTGAAAGTACAAAACTAAAAAAAGAGAAACTGAAATCTCTATTCTACAGTTCAAAAAAGTGTCAATAGATTGTCTAAATTTCATTTTCTCATTTTACTTTCTTTGATTATTTAGGTACCATTATTACCCAGATAGTAGAACAAAGGAGAAAATAGAAATGAGATATAGCAATTACAGATACTGATTCTAGAATCGTGCATTGCATAAAATAAGACTAATTTATAGATAATATGAATAATTTCTACAGTATCTATTAATGATTGTACAGAGACAAAGTTCTAGGAAAAAGTGACAGTAATAAAAGTAACTGCTAATTTTCTACTTCTTGAGAGAGGGAGTTTGTCAGCTGGAGTTACCAATGGAAGCATAGTTGATGAAACCCATGCTTGATGAAGACAATAGAGAAATCAATTACCCTTTACATCGATAAGCATGAGCTTCCATGCTAATGCAGGAGACACACGTGGAATGAAAAAAACATTGATATCAATCCCATACATGCTATTGACTTAGAGTTGGCATTGCTCCCGCGTAAGCCTATAATATCCAGAGATCATAGATATCTGATAATTTTTTTAAATATGAACTAAAGATGCTAAAAATCAATTACTAGGAAGTTCAAAAGACATGGTCCATTTTTGCTTTAATTTGTGTTTTCTGAATGGAAAATAATGAACAATTTCAGTAAATTCTATGGTTGGTCAATATGAAATAAGGTGTTTCATTTTACCACAAGCAAAGTCAAGTAAATTGTTTTACATCTAATGTTAACAAGAGATGCTCAAGAATTTAATAAAAACAGAAGCCAAAACCATGAAAATAACCAGAAATTTCTCTATACAGTGAGAAAAGCGCATGTTGGACACTTACCACAGTAGAGTAGTTTTTCGTCTGATTTATCCTTACAATGAGGGGTACCATCACAGGTGAGCTGATAGTCAATGCACTCACCATTTCCACATTCAAACTCTGAATAAATGTTGCAAGAGGAATTTTTAGCTGAAAGAATAAAAATCCGATATTTTGTGTAACAATAAGTATTTTGATACCATGAAAATTATATCCCTTAAACTTAATTTATGTAAACATAAAATTGAATAAAGAACACTGGTTTATATATTTATTTTTAAGAAATTAACAGGACATTTTTTATTGTTCTTATTTCCCTTTGTAATTTTTTATGAGTTGTAGGCCTATTTTTCTATTTTTGTATTTTGCTATTTATTTGGTGTTGTATATGTGCAGAGCAGAAGAGTATTTTGAATTTGAATGACTGAATAGAGTTCATCTTTAAGATAAATTTTAAAAGAACAGGTTAAATGAGTTTTTTACATTCTGAAAATCTTTTTTGTTTCCTCATTAGAATCTATTATACATTCCTTAATAAATTACAATTTTAAGGGAAGATCCACTTGTTGACGCTTGACTTGAAATCTCAATTAAATAGTCGCTACCTATTCCATCTCCTGCCCAATTCACTTCTGATGGTATCCTGGGGAAAAACCTTTCTTTTAGAAATATTGGAATGATTCAAATCATTCTCATAATGTTCTCACTCCATGCCATTTGGAGATCTTGGAAAGACTAATCCCTTACAGGTGGCCAGGAGGGTCTCTGTCTGATGACTTGGTGGCATACAATGATAATTCAGAAAGCACATGCACCTGATGCTTATAGGCGCCCTCTATAAATCATATTACTCCATTTGAAAATTGCAGGACTTTCATAACAATTAATTTGAACTTTTATTTGGTTTGCCCTAAACTGTAAACAGATATCAACAATGAAAGAGTACAGAAAAACTGTTTTTTTATAACAAGATCTTATCCCAGGATTATTAGTACATAACCTTTTTTTTTTTTTATAATTCTCTCATGAAGAAAATTAACTTCTATTCTTAATAATACATTTAATAACAAACATGGTTTCTGTTTCAGTGTATTACTGAATGGGCATACACTGAAATCTTGAAATCTAGTCATATGCCTTTGTTAGAAGTAAGTACAATTCATTTATCATTATAGTAGATGAAGTCTATTTTTAAATTTACTATCCATTTTTGAGATTTATTTCAGGAATATTCAATTAGAAAACTACAAAAAATATTTGAAATTTCAAATTTTTTTCTTTATTATCTTTGATTTTAACTATTTTTTAAAACATAGTTATGTATCTGTGTTCCTATCTGTAATTTCTAATTTAGCTTTTTCATTGATCAGGACAGTTTCCAAAGACAAACTTTTTCTTTTGTTACTTAAACTTTAGTTTTTGGCTAGTAGCTAAGGTAGACTGTCATTCTAGACAAAGTAAAGATAGGGTAAAACATAAAAACATTATTAAACTTAAAATGAACCCAGAAGGATCCAAGTTTTACAATCAATTTTGATTGTGAACTGGAAAAATTTCAGATATTAACTGACAGTCTTTGGTATTACTGACATACTTTAAATCTTTTAAGTATAGGCTATAAACTGTTTCATTTCCAGGGAAAAACTTCTGTGATAGAAAATGCTATATCCAGTGTTATAACCACAATTCCTTTGAGGAAAAGTTATTTGTAGATTTTACATATATATGGTTTTTGTGTAATGAAAAAAACAAGTATTAAATGAACAAATGTCTTGCTCGGGTGTGTTCAGTTGAAGAAATCACATTGATTGTTTTCTGTTTCTGTCTACTAAAATCAATGTGGTTCTTCTCTTTTCTCATACTTGTACAGGTCCAAGACTTTAATCTTGCTTGCTATTACTATTTGTATTATGAGATTAGCAACAGGGTTGATAGGATTAGCAGTGTGACAACAATGGAACTGCCTAATTTTGTTAACTTCTATGACAACAGATGTTTTTTGTCCTTGGATAATCGTTAATAAATGATCTTTTAGCCTTTGATGATGCCAGTAATGTTACAGACATCTCTGCGCATATGCATTCAGCTATGGAACAGACATAGGCACAATTTTATTTTTCTAAGATAGATTTGAAAGAAATCAAGTGTTATTTTCAAATTTTCTGCTGGACTCTAGGATTTCGATATGAATGCACAGTGAATCACCCCTGAAGAACCCAGTGTGTTTTCTCTGTTTCACAGTGATGTGTATGTCTCATTTAAAATGATAATTTCTGTCTGAATCATTTTTTCTCATTAAAAGAGAAAAAAAGGTCATACAACAAGGAGACTTGTATTTGATACATTTTACAGAAACAAGAGTCTGGTTAAAAAAAAATAAATAAAACTTCATTGTTTTGATCAAAGTCACTGCTTCAATACTAGCTTGTGCTGACCTGGGAAAGAAACATGAACGATTCTAATGTACAACTAACACTCAGGCTTATAGATGGCATTAGATCCACACCATTACAACTGAAGCTGCAAAGGCAAATGGTAGGAGAGCGTAAGCAATTGCCTGAGCAACCCAGAAATGTTAGGTGGGAATGACGGGAATGTTTGGCTTGAATTGATAAAGTTTGCTAACAACATTTAAAATTCAGTAACTAATAACATTAATTTCTTATTTGGTTTTGTAGTGTCTCAAAGCAAATTTTATCATTTTTGATAAGAGGAACCCTTTTGGTTTATGGTACCAATATGCAAAGTGAGAAGTTATGTAATAGGTGAATGAGAAATGTTTTCTGGTGGATGAAGACTATAAGAAGACTAACAATAAAGAAAAAAAAATAAAATGAAAACACTTAGTTTTATGATGTAACCATATCCAACTTGGTTTATTTTCTAAAGGTGAAAAAAACAGAAGTATGAGAAAAAAATTTGTCAATTTGGCACATTTTGGGAGTAAGTTCACTAATTTCCAAGTAAATGATTATCATCACACCTTCCTCCCATGTAAATACTCTTAAAATTAACAGTAAATTAACCTTTTTAAAATATTGTTTGCTAATTTTTCACAGCAACACTGGAACACTTCAAACATTATATTGGAAACAGTTTTGGAAACTTAGCTGTTAATAAGTGTGTACTGTAATGGTACTAATTAAAGACTCTAATACCTTTGGGATGCATAAAGATCATGAAATGTTGCAATGTTACATTCTTAATTAACAGTTTGGAAATGATTACAAATAAGTTACATGAGCCATTTTCTCTCATTTACATACCGTGATGGACTGTGAATGGTTTTACTGCAAGGCTACTAATATACTGTCGGCATTCTGCCTTATTTTGGCTTTAATTAATTTTGTAATTGATTGATTCTCAAAGTCACAGCTATAAGATTTCAGATGGGATATTCTTTAGCTAGCCACAACACCTTTCAGTATACAATCAGAGGGTTATGATTTTCATCACTGGTTTGGTTGTCATTAACTATAACATGGTGCTATAGCTACATTAAATTGTAAAATAAAGATCAAGACACCAGATATAAACCTCTGAGCTTATATTGGAGAATAAAACTGCACAAATTCACTAAAAGAATTTTAATGAATATGCATGTCATTTTAAGTAGATATGTTAAGTTACGTTTTGTTTCTCTTTACTTACTCACACATCTGTTGTCATCTAGCAATATCCGGTCTCCCCTGCAAGAACAATTTACTCTCCCATCAGGAGTTAAAAGGCAGAGGTCATGGCAACCTCCATTCAATACTGCACATGGAGAAAGTTCACCTGCAATGAATAAGCTTTATTGGTAACATTTTTTATTGCATACCTATTCCTTGTTATCAGTATAGATAGGTAGTAATCTTTTAAACTTCCTAAACCTTCCAATGACATCTCATAAATAAAGAATATTCAGGACTTCCGAAAATCTGAACATTCTAAATTTTATATAGATTAGAAAAATGCATAACCTAAAATACTATATATTTCTTCCATTTGCCAAGGATATTATGGAAGCAAAAGTATTAGCACCACTGGAAAAGACACAGATACTACAGACTACAATTTAGTAAGTGCTACAGTGACGGAAAAATATTTTAAGCCCAGATGCAAAACTGGCCATGAATTACTATTATCCTAGTAACAAATGTCAAAGTTATGAGAAGTAACAGTGAACACAGTGGAACTCCAGAAATGAATAAAAAATGAATTGTTTCTCTCATTATAATTAAAGGACTAGAAGACTACCTAAACATTTCAGATAATTTTAATATATGTGCCATGGTTTATGTCAGTGGCTCCCAGGCCTCATGCGTTTACATTATGCATCTGTGATTGGTTCATTGTCTAGTGCTTGATTTGATGGTGTCAGTGCTATACCCAAATAGGGATGAAGCCAGGATATGATTTAATGGCAGGAAGAAGATGTGTCTCACTCTCTTGCTGGTTTCTGCCTTGCTGTTTGCAGCTGCCATGAACTGCAGCTGCTATGCCACCCTGCTTTGGAACCAACTGAATATGGACCAAAACCTCCAAAAACTGTAAGAAATAAACCTTTCCTTCCCAAACTTTGTTCATCAGGTATTTTGTCTCAGTGATGAGTAAAAAGTAACTAAGACAATATGAAACAGTCAAATTCTCATCATTGTATCCACAAACTATGAGGAAAAAAAAAAAAAAATCCAGCTAAGTATGACCAGAAAACACAGGTAGATATCTGAGATATTCTATACTTAGGACATTTATTTTCTATTGTAACTTACAAGTATTGGTGTCATTGGCCACAGCTATGATCCCAATTGGCTGGTGTGGAATATCAGAACGAAGAATTTTTGTATCCCCTCCTGTATATTTGTTGGAACGCAGGATAGCTCTCCTTCCCCAGTCCGACCAGAAGATGTAATTGTCATAAACTGCCAGACTAAGGAACGTTCCTGGCCCAGATTTAACAATCACCTAGAATAAATTAAAATACACCTTTTAAAAATATTAAAGATATTCTTATCTATGTATCCCATTTCATTTTTGTTCCAAAACTAAGGGACTAGGTTCACATGGATATAGTCCATAGTAATCATTGGATAAAATATATTCATTCAATATTTTCTCTTTTTCTGCTTTATAGTTTTTAAACTTATTTTAATTTCTCTTGTTTATTGCCAGAGCTATGTAAAATACATGGGACCAGAGTGGTTCATAATTTTGATTTCTGCTGATTTGGAGATATTTATGTACTAAAAACATAAAATACCTTAAGTAGAGTACACAAGTCAAAACATAAAATTCATTAACAGCACATGCATATGTTCCAACAGTTACATCTTTAAAGTGATATAACAGTATTTTTAGCATTCACAGTGACACATCATGTGAGGTCAGAAGTGGACTTTTCCACTTGTGTATCATGGTAGTGTACAAAAGATGTTGGATTTTGGAGCATATTTTCTCTTGGATTTCCTGAGGAGAGAGCTGATCAAACACTAATCCCATTTTATCATTGGTAAAAACAATTAGATTTTTTTCAGTTCTTTATCAAAATTACAAATTCAAAATTATGAGCCAGGATCAGGGATACAGTTCAGCGGTACCATGCCTGCCTGGCAAGTGTGAGGTCATGAGTTCAATCAATGGTACAAAAAAAAAAAAAAAATACAAGACTAACATTACCCCCAAAATTTATTTATTTTTGTTTTGTTAAATGATAATCAGATATATTATATTCATCAAGTTCCAGTTTCTTCCTTTTTTAAGCTTACAGTATGAATCATGAAAGCGGATATGCATATTTTGCTATAAAAAGATTGCAAAGCCTAAACCTTCAGTGAAACCAGTGTGGATAAAAATAACCCAAATTTATCTTCCTATGAAACTAAGAGACTGAAAAATAAAATATATTAAAAGCCTCTCAATGCTTTGAACGTTGGGTAATAAAAGGTAGTGATTTCTGATTAACAAGAAATTAATGATGTGTGTCTCATACCAGCTACAAGTAGTACCGAGGTGCCCAGACAGAAGCCAGAGAACTCTGCAAGTGAGAGTGACAGGATGGAGTTATGAAAAGACAGAAGGGCTAACGTCACAGGGCAGTATCAGAGGAGAGAGCTTATGACAGAGAACGGTGAGTATTCAGAGGTCCTCGAGGAGACTCAGTTCAGTGATGAAAATAAATCTGTGAAATAATTCCGCCAGGTTGGAGAAGGAGCCTCATGCAGGGATTAGAAAGCAGAATCCCAAAGTTTACACAGGTACAGGACTTGTGTCTATTTACATTGCTACATTCAAATGTGTTCTGATAAATGGGATGCTAAGTTATGTAGAAGTCTTAGTTTCATAGTGAAGAACAATTAGCAGTAGATTAAACTCTACCCAATCATGTCTCACAAATCTTAAAAGCAAGTGCTAAACCAAATTAAACTGTTTCCAAATACTTGAACTATCTTCTAAATTCAAAAATTCAGAACTTCTTCTGTCGAAGTTTAAAAATTAAACCACTAAACTAGTCTTCAAGAAAACATAAAAAAGAAGAAAAAATTGCCAAATCAATGGTTTTGGCTGCTATTTTGACAAGCAGAAGACAAGAATATTAAACCCAAAGTCAGAAGGAAGGAAGGAAGGAAGGAAGGAAGGAAGGAAGGAAGGAAGGAAGGAAAGAAAGAAAGAAAGAAAGAACAAAAGAAAGAAAGAAAGAAAGAAAGAGGAAGGAAGAAAGAAAAAGAAAAAGAAGCCAAAAAAATCAACAGAGAAATCAGAGTCAATAATTTGAGAAATTACAATAAAATAGAAAAAATGGGTTTAATGGGTTTTACCCCAATAACGTATATGAATTTAACATAAGAATTTACCTCTGAAGTTACAGACACTTCCAGAAAAGACTTTAAAGACATTGGTGTAGTTTGATGTTTTATTTTATCTGGTTTCATTAATAGCAATCTCTGCCTTCCTGTTGTAGTCAAGTGACCTGGAGGGAGCCCTGGCTCCTTGGAGAATGCACTGCAGCTCAGTGCAAGGACCACACCTGGACTGCAGAGTAGCTGCATTTAAGTGGCAACCAGCTCTTTCTCAGCAGGGTGCATCTGAGAAGCTGTTTCCTTTCACTTTTTAAAATGCTAGTTTTGTTCTTCTCTACCATGGGCCTGATCAAAACTTGTTCTAACAAATTCAAAGAACTATTGTAAAGCCATATGTGGAAATATTTTATAAATTTTTATATAGCAATATAATGAGCTTATATACTTTATCAAAGTTGACTGTAGTGGTAACCTTTGTGATTTTTTTCTCAAGATTTATCCCAAAGTAATTTTTTACCTGAAAACTAGATTAAGAAACCTAAGAAGAGCCGGGTGTGGTGGCTCACACCTGTAATCCTAGCTCACAAGGAGGCTAAGGCAGGAGGATCATTGCCAGTTTGAGACCAGCCTGGGCTATTAAGTGAGCTCAAGGCCAGCCTGAACTGCAAAGAGAGACTCTGTCTCAAGAAAATAAAATCAAATAAATAAATAAATAAACAAAATTTAAAAAAAGAAACCTAAGAAGTTAATACTTTTGATACGCTGACTCATTATTAAAGTCTCAACTGGAGACCTCATTATGTTCCTTTTCCTTGTAACCAAAAACAAACAAACAAGCAAAAAGTAATAAAGAAAAGAAGTTTTATGAGAAAGATGTTTACATAGAAGCAATCATAAAGAAATAGATATTTCCAAAATCAAACACAAATTTAAAATATTCATAAGTCAACCCTATAGACAAAATAATTATACAAAATATTTTGTTAAATACTTATAAACACTATTCCAATTAGCCTTGAAATCATTCCATGATAAGCAGGAATTATTACCAATTTTTATGTGCATATAAAATATCTGAGGCTTTGACATGTTAGAACTTATCAAGTGTGATAAACCTAACCAATGTGGGGAGCTGGGATTTTTATAAGGTATAACTTTAATATATAATAACAAATATTTTTTGAAAGTTTACCATATTACTAGTACTAATACAAATGTTTTGGTAGTAAACAGTAAAGAAAATGCAGTGTCTTTTCTCCTAGATAAGAAAACTTAGGAACAGAAAAATTAAGGACCTCAGTCAATGTTGCAAAGTTACACTCAGTGTTTATACTGCTAAACATCTGATACTCTCTCCTTAGTCTCCTCATTGCCGGGTATCACCTTCTTAAAAATTAATACATTTTGTGTTAAAGTATTTATAGACTATTAAAATCCATATGGTTTGGAGAAACAGATAAATTGGGGAATATGGTAATTGAAAAGTAAGTTCCATTTTACTTACTCACTCTGTATCAAAGTCTAAACTACTCTGAAGTAATTAACAATGCTATCTTTCTGATTTCCCAAAACTCTTTCTGGTTCATTGCAATTAACTGTTAATTACCTTTTATTAAAGAATTACTTCAATTTTTCTGATTACATAAATAAGTTTGGCTCTTTGGAATATTTTCAAAACTTATGTGCTCAGGCTCAATCATTTTGAGTTGGTTAAAATTCAGATCTTATGTCATAAGTTTGAAATGGAAAGTGGTATTTTATATTTTTCATAAGCCATAAGAAAATGTTAATGCTTGGAACCCACACTGGGAAAGATGAATGATAAACTAGAGAAAAGTATAAAAATGAAATAATCTTTCCATATAGATGATATTATTCACTATTTTGCATTAAAACATATTTCTATGACTGTATTCTTTATAAATATATACCTAATTATTGATTTAAAGTGAGTAGTAGCACTTCTGCTGTGGCCTAATGTGGAAAGATCACCGCAGCCTTGGTCTCCCACCAAATACATTCCCATAATGGTCCTACTACAAGAGTTAGAGGAAAAGAATGGTAATGAGAAGTTAAATAGAACCCAAAAAAAAGCAAGAATGACGGACATTATACTGTTTTACTACCATCGATTTCTTTTTCTATTTATCTTCTGGTGCTGCCCCGTAATTGAAAAACTGTACATTTACAACTTATTCACAAATAGTGTAGTTTTTCTGTGCTTGTATCACCCAGTAATTCTTTGGATTCCCACACAGATCCCAGAAACTGGAGATCTGTAGGAAAGCCCTCTACTCCAGGGTTAATGAGGGCCAGCCGTCTAGCAACAGCTACAGCTTAAGTGTTCAGAGGTAGGGGCTTTGGCTCAGCAGAAGCCCGAATGCTTGCATTCTCATCTGGCTCTTCTTAAGGCATTTTAAGAAATATGATTTGAAAACTGCAACTTAACAAATGTATTTGGCATTGAATTTGGCGTTTTTTCCAGCTGTCTTTACTATCTATTCCTTCTCTACCCTCTTCTATGCACGGTTTGCTCAGTTCCATTGTTTCTTTAATAAGGGAAAGATCACTAGACTCTGAAGGACAGAATCTTGAGTACTGCAGTTCCTTGCTTCACTCCCAAAAAATTCTTTACCTGGTGTCCACAGCAATTAGAGATGTGGTCTTTTGGAGGTAATTTGGCATAGCTGAGAACATGAAGGTAGAGCCCCAAGACAGCATTGTGTCCTTTGCTCCTGACCATAATGTGAGAACACAGCTAGAAGATAGTCATCCAAAACCCAGAGGAGTTCTCTTCGGAACTCCTTGATATACGACTTCGGTGGCCTCTGGAAGTCTGGGAAGTAAATGTCTATCTTTAGGGCTACACAGTCTATAGTATTTGTTATAGCAGCTTCAAGTCAAAATATTACTCTTCCCTCTTAGAAGACAGACACTTGGATTTATACTTGCTTTACATTTCTATATATATATATATAGCACTGGGCATACTGGTGCATGCCTGTAATTTCAGCACTCAACCAGGCTGTAACAGGAGAATTGCTGCGAGTTTGAGGTCAACCTGGGCTATATAGCAAGTTCAAGACTAGGCTTATCTGCTGAAACCCTATCTCAAGAAAAATTTTTTGTAAGTACATATTTTTAAATCAGTATGAAGAAGGACAAACA